TTTTTTGATCCTAAAGCAAAGGTTTGCTAGTTAAATTCATATTTAAACTTTTATACGTATTGAATTTTTCTTTTTCTTCACTACTAACAACAGATTAATTTGGAAAGCTACCGGATGGAACTCTGGCCTGGATATCAGACATCAATTCGTCAACACGAAAGTGATATATTGTTGTGTACTGAGGTGGCACACAAGGTGATGAGAACCGATACCTTGTATAACATTTTATCCGAGGCTATTCGCGACAATGACGATTATCAAACCGCCTTTAAACGTGAAATAATGGGTGAATTCTTTATTGAACCAGCATAATTATTTTTGAACCCTTATCATTTTATAATATTTAACCAAATGCGTTTGTAAAATATTTTAAACAGGCATGATTGTTTTAACTGATTACAACAACAAAACCTATCGCGTTGACGATGTCGATTTTAATTCGTCGCCATCATCTAAATTTAATACCAAGGATGGTGATATTTCTTATGTGGAGTATTATAAGAAGGTAAAATACACAACAAAATGTTCCAAAATGTGTGAATTCATTAAATTCTTTAGCGATACAACATCACAATCCGAGACTTCAAGCAACCTTTGGTGGTGTCTCGTCCCACTGAGAAAAATATCCGTGGAGGCGTTGATCAGCTCATTATGCTTATTCCCGAGCTGGCTCGGGCAACAGGAATGACGGACGCAATGCGCGCCAATTTCCGGTAAGTTCAGAGTAGGATTTTAGTTTTAAAACCCCTCCAAAGGTCGCTCTTCGTGAGACTAGGTTGATGAAGGCCATGAGCGAGCATACCAGACTCACTCCGGATCGTCGCATTGAGCGCCTGCGCATCTTCAACCAGCGATTAAAGTCCTCCAAGGAGAGCACTGAAACGCTGAAGTCCTGGAACGTCGAACTGGACTCCGCCTTGGTGGAAATTCCAGCTCGCGTGCTGCCAGCGGAGAAAATCGTGTTCGGCAACAACAAGAGATTCCTGTGCGACGCTCGCGCCGATTGGACCAACGAGTTCCGCTCCTCCTCGATGTTCAGTCACGTGGACATCAAGAGGTGGTATGTGATCACTCCGGGTCGAAATTTGCGCGAGACCCAGGAGTTTGTTAAGATGTGCATCCGGGCAGCCAACGGAATGAGGATGCATATCTCTGAGCCTCGCTAGTAGGTATTACAAAACTATTTGTGAGTACCTAATTTAATGTACTACTTTTTGTAGCGATGAAATCAAGGACGACCGTAATGGCACTTACTCTCAATCGATCGATAACGCCGTGGCCAAGGACCCACAGATAGTGATGGTTGTGATAAAGGCTCCTAATGAAGAGAAGTGCGTTCTGTTTTTAAGATTATGCTGAGCTAGTTCCAACTTTTTTCCCATTGCCTAACAGGTATAGCTGCATCAAAAAACGCACCTGCGTGGACAGACCTGTGCCGTCGCAGGTGGTGACATTAAAGGTGATTGCGCCTCGCCCGGAAAAGTCTGCTGGCCTTATGTCGATTGCCACAAAGGTGGTTATCCAGATGAACGCCAAATTGATGGGTGCTCCTTGGATGATCGAGCTTCCAGTTCGCGGCTTGATGACTGTCGGTTTCGATGTGTGCCACTCATCGAAAAACAAAAACAAGTCTTATGGGGCTTTGGTAGCTACCATGGATCAGCGGACATCTTGCCGTTACTTCTCGTCGGTGACTGAGCACATGAAGGGCCAAGAGTTGTCCGACCAAATGTCGATGAATATGACGTTGGCTCTTAAGGCCTACCGGGAGCACCACGGTGCCTTGCCAGAGCGCATTCTTTTTTTCCGCGACGGCGTCGGTGATGGCCAGCTCCACCAGGTTGTGAACACCGAGGTGAAGTTCCTGAAGGCCAAGCTGGACGAAATTTACAAGTCCGCAGGCAAGGAGGAGGGTTGTCGCATGGCATTTATCATCGTGTCCAAGCGCATCAACTCGCGCTACTTCGTCAACAAGCGTAATCCACTTCCGGGCACTGTAGTTGATGATGTTATAACCTTACCAGAGCGTTATGACTTCTTTCTGGTGTCGCAGGCAGTTCGTCAAGGAACGGTGTCGCCCACCAGCTACAACGTCATATCAGACAACATGGGATTGAGCGCCGACAAGCTGCAGTTGCTCGCCTACAAGATGACCCATATGTACTACAATTTTTCGGGAACTGTCCGGGTCCCCGCCGTGTGCCAGTACGCTCATAAGTTGGCATTCCTCGTGGCCGAAAGTATTAACCGCGCGCCTTCAGCCGGATTGGAGAACCAGTTGTACTTTTTGTAAACATATGACTCTTGCTTTAAACTTTCTAACATTTTACGACATGATTTTATATTGACATAATTTGTATCACAATGAATGGATACTGGACTCAATAAAGAATGCACATTTATTTTTCTACCAAACAAAATGAATTTTGATCTGAATATGGAGTTTGAATATTATAATCTATAAAAAAAAGGTATGAATATAACTTCGGACTATTAATAAGGATCATTGTTTGAGCGTTATGCGTCTAATTCTTGGCATCACGATAATGCACCTGCACACATTTAACTCCTTTGTGACCAAAAATTCGACGCATATCGTTCAGCAACCACCGTATTCGCCTGATTTGGCTCCGTGTAACTTCTTGGTATTCCACTCCGGGGAATGAGTTTCGAGTCGATTAAGATAAACAAAGTCAAAGAAGCCGCGATTGGCTATACCGTGAAGGGACTATTCGGCATGATTCGAGGATTGGAAAAAACATTGGCATAAGTGCATTTTATCGGGAGGGGACTACTTTATAGGGTATGAAATTCATGTAGAAGAATAAAGATTTCTCATTTTACAAACGAATTAATCTTACTTGTTGCCCACAGTAGTAAGTGTATATAAAACCATTCAGAAACCTCTTCAAGCGAAATTCGGGGCGTACATTCGACGCAGGCATTAATACAAGTCTCAAAAGAATTTCGCCGGAAGAGGTTTCTGTGACACTCCCGTACATATATATAATTTGAACTGCATGATATGGTTTATAACATTTAGTTTATGTGAGAAATTTGTTGTTGCACACTGTAAGTCGGCAGAAAACGAGCAGAGCTATTCCTTAAGGTGCCGCCTGCTGCTAGAAAACGGCAGACCGATATTGCAAAATACTTTATAGGGTCAAATTTGTCCTCTGCTTTGCAAACTATTGATTAAAATAACAATACACTCTGCAAGGGTATACAACCACTCTTAAAAAGACAAGGAAATTATTCTTAATTTAAAATTGCCCAAGAACATATGTAAACATAATATATTATACTATATACTAAGGAATACTATGAGAATAAGTATCAATAAAATACTAATAAACTTGTTTAACATACAATTTAATAATTCACTGTTTAACTTTTACTAATTGTATTAGAATTACATACAAATTTCAGTGGTTGCCGAACACGTGCAATGCCGTGTATCCTAATATATAATTTTAATTCAGAGATAGTTTGCTACAGGCCAAACGGAGTGTTCATCAGTAAAAAAGGCCGTTTCTGATGCAAATAAAATGTCTATAAAGAAAAAAGAAATGATGTTAAATTCTTTTTTGAAATCAAACATTTGAATGGTTTGGCTTACCTGGTCAACAAATGCAGATGCTAAGACTCGGTTTCATCTCTTACAGTTTTTGGCGTCACTAAGCTTACTTCTTCATCGTTCAAGTCCTAAATGTGAAATTAGATGTTAAATATAAGCTTATACACAATTTTAAAAAGAAAATTCAAGTATAAAAAAGGATTAAAAAATACTATCGGATTTCCGAAGCTTTAAAACCAACTATATGCAAGGACTATGTATAAAACCCAATCTCATAAATAAATGCACTTTTTGACCAGTGCGTAGGTCACAGACATGCAGGGATTTTTAAAGTAGCAAGCAGGAGTCAAAAATTTATAACAGATCACATAATACAAAATTTATTAAATCACATAATGGAAGTATTCTAAACACAACGTACTTTGAATGTTTGGTTCTCTATATAAAAAAACAAACTACAGGAAGAGGCTCTAAAATAAAAACTGTTTAATGTAAAATTAGGCTAATCAATTACAAAAAAAAATTAATGTTTGATAGCTCTTTCAATGGACATTAAATATATTTTTATTTCAAAGAGCTCCAAAACTGAAAAATTTAACAAATTTACAAAAGTATTTTTAAGAATTATTTTAAATGCGTACGTTTGTTTTATTGTGACAAGTGAGTACTTACCGATTGACACAAAAAAAGTTATTTTTAAAAAATATCTATTTATAGGTATTGCTTAGAATTCGAAGACTAGGTGATATCCACTGATTGTGTTTAATGATAGATGTTCATAGGTGAATTGATTTACATTTTTTATACATTTTGGGTAGAAAACGTTATTAATAAAAATAAAAATCTCTTGGTGTCTTTGCTGTTTACACTGTCGGTTGGATCGGTCTGTAAATTGCGACCGCACATTTTCTGCGATAAATTTTTTAGCAATGGTGCTTAAGTTTTGACCACTTGCTGAATGATTTTTAGACTTTCTTACACTGTCAAAATTTTAAAATGTAAAAAAAAGATTCCTCTGACCGGTTTCTTGTCCGATCATAGCCTTTTTTGTCTTAAAACCTGCTTTAAATACTAAGTAAGTGCATTTAATATTTTAAGTAAAATTTCCATTTTGAAAACTTGTGGCAGAAATTGTAGTTTTGTTTTTAGGTGTCCCAAATTAAAAAATACTGTAGAGAAAAGAAAACTATTTTTAAATTTTTTTATAAAACGTCTCCCAACCTGCAGTTTGATCTTTTAAACGCCCACTTATTTAACAATTAAAATGTTGTGTTCCCAATGGAAAAAAATAAAATTTTCATTTTAAAACAACAAACAATCTGCAGAACCCTTGCCCATGGGCAAAGCCGCCTTCAAGTGTAAAAAGATGTATGTTAAATGTGTTGTGTAAGACCTTAAATTATTTAATTAATACAACACTATGTTTTCTTAACGTTAATGGAGAATTTATTAGACTTTATTATAATTTTGTTTGTAAACACCTCACTTATTATGTTATAAATGACTGGCAGTTTACCATAATAAATCAATTACAACGAATTTACTGATTTCTAAGAATTATATAATATTTTCACTTGTAGCAATAACACTATTCCAATCTATTTTATAAAACAAGATCACAATTTAGTTACGAATTATGCAATTTCGGTAATGTCCCAACAGAGTACATTTTGATTTAAATATTTGAATAACCTATTTACAAATACATTAGAGTTTATTAATATTAAATATCAAATATATACATATGTTATTAATACTAATGTAATTGCACTAACGATAACAATAAAGACTACCAATAATACGATGGCAGCGACTGTCACTTTAAAATCCATCTCATAAACTTGATGAAGTAATCCTGCAAATTTACAATTACAGCAAAACACATTGATTTAATTTGCATCAACGATAAGATAATAAAGAACATTTTAACGTTTTATTTGTTTTAAAAGAAAAGGATTACGTTGCGATGATTTGCAAGGATTCAAAATGAAGAAATGTTTTGATTTAATTCAAACAATATACAACTAAATCTAAGAAAAAATATTTATTACTGGAAATATATAAATGTATAATAATAATGGCAGTTCTTAGTTAAACCTAAGACTTTTGCGTGTTGTTAAAGCACTAAATGAGTGTGGAAAACCTTAATCGAGAATAACTAGCACTAAATATGTGATCGTTAAAAATGATTTGGTCTAAAATATAATGCAATCAAATTGAACACTACACTTTGGTCTGACATATGTAAATGGACGGAAGGTAGACATTTGTAAGTTTTTGTTCGTGTTCACTGAGATAAAATGAAAATTAATAGTGTAATAACTCCGGATTTATCTTAATAATAATTCAAGTTTTTGCATAAAGTTTATCAACAAAATGTTCATCTGATTGATATTTATCGTTATTATTTTTTTTGTTTCTTTAGACCAATTGCAAGGAAGAGAACAATGAGTAATCCAACCACCCTCTCCACAAATTAAAAAAACTATGACACCCACTGAAAAATTAAAACGAATTTTGTGTACAATTAGTTACTTATTTTTTTGACATATAGAGGTACGATTTGTCTCTAATCACTCCAGAGTTTTCGCCTCTTCTATTGCGTAAACATTTTTGTTCATAACCAATCCCTATTTACAAATGATCCAATGATCACTATTAAGAAATGATCCAGAATATTTTGGTGAGCTATATTTATTGGACAAATAAGATTAAAGTAAAGACACAGAATCCTTAGGGTTATTAACCTTATTTGTTGATGATTGAATGAAAATTTTATCATACACTACTTTTGCTATTGGTTTAGTTCTTCAGGCTTGTTATTTTACGATGGTCCAATATTGATTTATGTTTTTGTGAAAGATTCGAGGTCAGCGTTGGAAAAGCTAGTTATGGACAGCTGTTCGAGTGGAATTACTGTGTAAAAACCCACCTGACGTTGTAAGAAATTCTTGTTCTGGACTCAGGTGTAAGGAGTATGCAGTGTGATCACCTTCAATATACTTCAATATACGTAGAGACATAAAAAGAAATTATAGCGATGGTAACGTCGAACAGAAAAACAGAAGAGGAAAACGCTATGCAATACATATGGATTCGGTGAACACTTTTTTATAACTTCTCTAAGAACATTTCAAGTACATAAAACATTTTGATTTAGAACTAAGTATGGGGCCTTTAGGCAAAAAAGAACATCACTATTTGACCATCCCTCTACTTTTTAACTTTATTTAAGCTTCGTTATTTACCTATGCATTACTGGTAAAGAAAACAAAATATTTTACGTTACGGTAGTTAACCAGTAGAGATGACAAATACACTTTGTTGTCCTGGATATATTTCAAATAAAGACAATACGATATTATAACAAGCTTACTGGTTTTCTTCTATCTACTAATATTCGAGATTTTATTTTACGATGACTCTGTGTGGTCAACAGATAAAACTTACGATGGCAAAGAGCGCGGCACCGCCAAAAGAACGATTGTATAAATCTCCAACAGCCCTCAAAATTTAACAAAAGTCGAGAATTTATGAATATTTTAACTGATTTTTAGGACATTACTATTGTGTATAAAATAATTATAAACAGGAAAATACTTAGTGTGTATTGAAAAAAGTGCATTACGCACTCAGTTTAAAAAAATATGTAAGTTAATTTATATTTGGTAAACAAAATAGGATAACCAAATTATGAAATTCGTAAGATTTATGAAATATCCTGGACCTATCAAAATCTGTTTTAAATTTACGAATTATTCAAATGAGTCTTGTGAAAAGCTTCTGCGCCATTGATGAATAAAGATCTCACCTTTTTGGCTGGAGGTGTTGGGACCTGAAGATGATATTTGTTTTGACAATAGTCGCGCAACAACGCAATGCCTTCCGTGCGATTGTTAGCGTAGCGCGATTCCCATGCATCCAAAAGGCGATTGTAATACCGCGGGCTGTCGTTGTATTTAAGGTACTTATGGGTTTGATCTGTTGGAAAAATGCGCTCTAAGGGTGCACACCGCGCTAATTCATCCTCTGCTATGATAAGGCACCTCACATCATCGGGAGTTAGATTGTTCAGGATCGCATTTACATACTGTTGTAATAAAAATTTAGTTTCATTGAACGTGATTTAGAATAATATAAAATCTTGGTCATACCTCATTCCGATCTTCCATAGACTTTCTTGTGAAGGTGTTATGCTTAACCTTTTCTTCGCGAGATAAATAATTTATATAAAGACGTTTATCATAGCACATTTGTGTGCCAGGAGGAAATGAAAATTCTGCAGCCAGTTCTTTTTGCTTATCCAACGATAGTTTTGGAGGTACCTGAAAATATGAAAGTAATAACCTCAGCATCTTTAAATGTAGGAAGTCACTACTCACGTTGTACAGTGCAGTATTAAGGACGCCCTGAACCAAAGGCGCCTTCACATGAGCATCTAGTGGCAGTTCCGAGTGTAAGCTGGGAGATATATTTACTTCCAAAAGCCAAGGAACAAGGTCGGAATCCAAAATCACATCAAAGCCAAACAGCTCGAAGCAGCTGTATTTTGACTCTACATTTGCTCTTATCATGCTATTAATGCCATTCTCGCCAGCGAGAATCGTTCGAAGGACTAAACTTCTAAGAGCTTCCCACAGACAGTCGGTACGAACCCCTCGGTTTGCCAAGTACGTCCACAGAGACTTGATGGTCCACTTATGCCCGTGACAGGCATTGACATCTTCGTTTTTCGAATAGTTTGAGGAAAACTTATTGATGCTGTAGTTGGTCAAATGCATACACCGATCGTTTAAAGTGTCAGTCTTGGCACTGTACTTCACTGCACATAGTATAGTTGGTTAATACATTGCTTAAATGATAGATATCAATTATTTACCAGAAGCAAATCGTGCCAATCCGTTGTGGTACATGAAAACACGCAAGGGATTTACGGATGTAACCAAGACATAAAGACGCAAGTCAAATTTACTTCCATTGATAAGAAGTGGCCGTTCAATGTACCTATAACACAAATAAATATGTTAAAAGACGATTTATATAAACTCGAGCTGTATTCCTCTTTATATGTTACTTACTTCTGCACGATAAGAGGTCTTCTCTTGGGGATCTGGCCCCATCGATTTATAACTCTGATGCCAGCCCCTCGAGCACTAGCTGGTGGCTTTATTATCCACTTCGTATTTCGCTGGGCATACTTCGGCCAGTGCCGCCGCAATGCACCCAGATCGTTTGGAATAATGTATGTGCGCGGCATGAATCCGAATTCCTTGTTGCTGTGCTTACCCATCTGCCTTTGCAGGTTTTTCCAGCACGAATCCTTTCTGCCAATACGAAATGAGCCGGGCAAGTGATTTATTTTTTGATATGAACGAATGGCTTTAAAACACGGCGACTTTAAGTGCTTGCCCCACACACCCATCCAATCGTTGGTTTCTGTGGTAAAAATGCAAATTAATTGTAGTCTGATTATGTTAACCAACTCACTCTTCAGCATTCGCATCCCGCTGTTGGCGAGTATCAGCCGAACGACCTTTGGCATTATATTTGTGATGCGCCACTTGAGTACTCGATGAAGATCCGGCGGCACCCGGGGACCCTTTTTTGTGTTCGACGAGAAGGACAAATAGGGGGGCACATAGGGAAACAAACTGGGAACTAGGAGTGACTCCGGATTTTTAAGATCGTCCTCGGAAGACTGAGAAGACGAAAAGCTGGGAGTGCCTTGGGGCGATAAAAATCGATCCACCGAGTGTGTGAGCTTGTAGGCATGGGCACGATAGCCATCTTCCGTGTCTGATAGTACACTTGCGGTGTCGCTTTCGTCGAAATTTGAAACTGTTGGGAAAAACGAGGAAGATAAATAAAAAAAAATTTAATAAAGAGGAAAATACTTCGGCCATAGACGAGAGAATATGTTGATGAAACTTGAATGAATTGTGTAATGCAATTTTGCATTCATTTGAAAAAGTGAAATTCAAACTGGAAAACTATACTTACGATTGTCGAGGTCATCATCCTCGTCGAAGTCGTCGTTACGCTCAAAGTCTATGGCACTGCGGTTGTCCTCCGGCTTGTCTTCCGGCTCCAGCAATATGACCGTTTGTCCCTCATCGCCTCCTCCCAGAGTCTTGGCGCTCTGCGGCTTTATACTGAGACGCTGGGTGGTGAACTGTTGCTTGCGGCCCATTCGAGGACTTTGAGTGCTGTACAGCAGCACCCGATGAACCGTGGGCATTGGCTTCTTGGCGGACACGGCACCCCCTTTGGCCCTCTTTGGCGTCATTGGCAACCGGGGCACGGGCTGATCCGTCGCCTTCCGCATTACCTTCAGTTCATTATTGTTGTTATTAATCAGAGCATCTCCGCAATCATCCAGGGCCGCATTCTCGGACATTCTGCAATAGCGCCGATGGACCTGCTCCAGCCCGTCATCAATAACAACAGCGGGGTCATAGACCTCTTTTATATCCCTGTAATCCTCGCCACTGCCAGGGTCTCCCCAGTCATTGTCCAGGTAATCGCCTTCCAAATCATTGCTCGGCAGCTTCTCCTTCAGCACGTGCTTCTCATATTTTGGACTCTGCCAGCTTCTGTCCTCAGAATTGTCTCTCCGACCAACAATGACGGTGTCATCTACATCTCGAGAATCTCTGCGACTGGCGCTGGGCTTTTGAAATTTACTCATTGGCAGTTTGCGGCTATTGGCAACGCCAAACGATGGCTTGGACAGTTTCTCCGCTCCACGATTGTAAAAGTACGAAAAATAGTGCTGATAGTGCTGATTCGTCGTCTGATACTGCGCCGGCCGCTCTGAGCTGAAAAACGAGAACAGAAGGCGGTTAATCACAGCTTGGCGAACAAAGGAATATGTTCAGATTGTTTACACATCTATGTTCAATGAGTGTTTGTGGGTATATAGTTATGTACTCGAAACTAGAGTTTGTGTGGTATCTATCGGTAGTTTTCCAAATAGTAATTGTAAGACTCGAACACAACAACAACAAAATACGTGTGTGTGCGTGTACTGGAGGTATGTAGTTTCAACAAGCAGGACAAGTAACAAAAATGCATTTGCAAAATTACAGTATGTTATCCCAGGTTGGCTCTGGTGAGGGGGAATTGAGGGCCCGATATCTGTCCGGACTATTGTCCAGATAATCGGACGTCACGCGTCCCCCTCGGGCTTTCCGTTTCTTTAGCTCCGGATCGAAGTAAACGATGGATGGCTGGAGCAGCATCGGCTGTTGCTCCTTGTCAGCGGCATAGGGCCTTGTCAGCTTGTACTGTCTATTGGAATGCTGATCCTCCGATCGCCGAACAGTCTGGTAGACGTACTCGCAGCTCTTGTTGCCAGCTATCCGCTGGTTGATCAGGGAATGCTGGCCAAATGCATCGGTATAGATTGAGGAATCCGGCGCCGAATTGGCCGCCGATTGATGGTAGCTCGATCTGGCTCCTTGCTTGGTGGGAATTCTCTTTGACGGCAGATTGTGGTTCTGGTTGGGTACTTGATTTTGACTCGGATTCTGATTCTGGCGGTTGCCCCAAGTGGGAGCGATCAGGTTGCAGTTATCATAGTTGTAGTAGCAAAACGTATTGTCCGCATTGCAGTAACGTGGCGCTGGGGCTCCATTGTTGTTCAGATTCAGACTGTTGCTGGCCGGGATACTATAGCCGCTGTTGTTACGCATGTCAGATCCTGGTCACCCAGTCATATATAGTGGGGGGACTAAGCTCGTTGTGATCTCTGACTCCGCTAACCCAAAAAAAGGCCTTAAAAAAGTTTATATGCTGTGAATGATTTCTGATCGGATTTGGACGTAAGATTACGGATGCGGATTAATCATATCTGGTGGATAGAGAGAAGGCAGAATGCCTGATGGCACTCCGACGGTGAATATACATTATATATTAACCCCCTGCGAGCCCCGGGCGCTCCATAAACCACTCCGTAAACCAGGTCAAATGTACAAAAACTTACTTGCCTCGCGATTTGTGACCTTTACTTTGTTGCTGCGGGAAGGATTCACAGGCACAGTCACTGGCACTGGCGAACGGAGCAGGATTGCGGTGGCGGTGGTGTGGCGTTACTCTCAAGCGCAGGACTCCCAAAATCTAGGTCACTAGCACTTGTCGTCAGCTCGGTGTGATTACATTGCCAGCAAGAAAATTGCGCCAAGTAAATATAAATGGAAGCAGAACTGAAAAACGAAACACATCCTGCAGTTAGATATCGTGGTTCTTGACAATTGCGAGCAGATAGCATACCTACAATATAACTAATAGCAAATGCACAATTTTGTCTATATTTATTTGGCTTATAAGGTAACTTCCAGCTCAACGTTTGTACTGAAATTCTTAATCTTTCACTTAAACTTTTCACAGCCTACGACAAAAAAAAACTAAACTACTGTATTTTGAAGAAATAAAATATCCATGTGCACAGTTTGGAGGTGGCAGCGTGAGCACTTCAAAGTATCACCTCGCGATATGTATCGATTGCGCACGCAACGGCTGTTTCCGATAGTCATTCTCTAGGTCTTTTGTGGGAGTTCCCCTGAAAAACTATTTGAATAATGGGAAAACGAGGAAAATATAACTTTAATTGAATGTCTTTGATGCATATTTGGGTAGGAAATTCGTTACCCTCAACAATTATCTTATTAATGCACGGAAATCAAGACAAAACATTCTTTTCCACACCTTTTTAGTAAAAAATTGTTTCAATTTCAGAGAAGCTGCGTACATATCTACGAATACGACTAATATACATATCCTTGCTCAAACATTCATCGGTAGGTCATTTCACCAATTTCTTTCTTAAGATCACAACTCTACTTTGAATAACCTTAAACCCTTTTCATAACTTTAAAAAGACAGACTTAGAACATATGTACATACATATGTAGATTTTAATTCAAGATTATTCAAGAATAATTCTTATAAGAATTATAATTATTAGGATGCAAAGTGAGTTTTTATAAATTGTCTCCTATTGTTGTCTTCCCCGGATTTCGGTGATCTTCCTATGGAATTGAAGAAGGTTGAATTGAATGGCGAAATGTTCTGCTCCGTATCTGGGGAAATACATTTAAAGTATTAAAATAAAGATTCCTTGAGGTTGTGTCATAAACATTATTAGCTTACCAATACTGGGATCTGCCCACTCCATGGCCATGTTGTGCAGAATGGATAGGGCCGTTATCGTTTGCTTGGCGGATCCGTGGGAGCCGTGTATTTCAGTGCCAAGAATGCCGAAGCGACTCATCAATAGGTTGAGACATTTTCTGGCCGAGGCATAGGTTATTGAGTGGGCGTGGTTGTAGAGCTCCTCGGGTTGGTTTCTTGGAAATCGAACTGGTGTGAACAGGGAGGACGAACAGCGGACCATTTCATTTCCCAGCAGAATGCGACCACGAAACTCGTTCTGTTCGAACCGCTCCTTTATTTTAGACAGACCGAACATCTCGGTGTCTGTGAGCATTGAATTTTCCTCGATCAGACGAATATCAAGGTCTCTTATCTTATGGGCTGCATCGCAAACGATTTGGAGGTGAAGCTCCTCCTCCTTTGTGAATGTGGGAGAAAGGACCTCCCCATCAATATCTTCCGTTGCTACGTTTTCCGGTTGAAATCGAACTGTTGTCTGCAGTAAAGCCCCGATAACTTGTGGCATATTCGCAATTGCTTGAAAGGAACACATCATTCGCTCCTTTTCGGAGAGTGTTGCCGGCATTCTGATATACCGAGAAGCTTTCGAGGACAAAACTGAAGCAACGCGCCTTGTGATTTTCGCCAAAGTACGTAAACTAACGCCATGGGCCATTGCAGTTAGTTTTGGGTGCTAAAAAACAGTAAAATCAGTTTATTGTTCAAATTTTGAAAATAGTGTGCTTTCGCGCTTTTGGTGTACACACAAATTCACAAGTCAAGCATACAGAAATGTTTACCTCAGTTCCACCCCACAGACGAATTGCGGATAAGATTTGTAGATCTATTGGAACTTGTTCTCTTTTCAATGGCTCAAAATATTCAATTTCCAGATCGTCCCGCACAATTTCAATAATCCGACGAAGGTTTTCTTTCGTGTACCGGTACTTCAATCGAAATTTGTGCTCATTTAGGTCAGTTAGAGGGTTGAAACGCGGATGCGTCTTCTTTATTTGGGTAATCTTACGGGCATTGTTTTTGGGACTAAGAAAACTTTGAAAGTCTCTAAAATATTCAAAGTCTTTCAGAATATTTGAAAATTTTTCTATATCTTCCATTTTTACTTGACTTTTTGTTTACACTTTGTTCAAAGTGGTTGTTTTCTAAGTATTTGAAAATACCGTGTACAGACCGACATAGCAATAGTATTTGTGGTATTTAAGGCTCTAGCAACGATTTGAAACTTAAATAATGAAGTTTGGTATATACCTAATTCTTTTGAAAACAAATTAAGAATATTCCATAAACTGTTATTATTATAAGTATAAAAAATTCTTTTAAAAAATTTCAGAAATGGATCAGAAATAAATATATTTAATGCTTGCGTTGATACAAAAGCTTTGTTCTGCAAAGAAGAACTCATGGTAAAAATCCACCGCAGCTTCCTTCCGCCCCAGATGACTATCTAAACGATCTGTCAATAGTTTCTTCTTTTCCTCTTTGATTTCAGATGACATCAATGTTTAAATCGATGTTTCTCTTGAAACGTCCCGGAAATCAACAATTGATCCCTAATATTGCTATGATTTTTAAGGAAATTACCAACCCTTAACATATATGTCCTTCTTGGAAAGACCTGGCACCTGTTGCACCAAAACGTACATTATTTATCTACAGAAAAATTGTTGCTTAAAAAGTGGATACAGTCAAAGTACCATATGCGAAGTTGTTGTAAATACTTAAAAAGAACCTTGTGCGAAGAGGGTGTTATAAATTCTTAAAAAGGTCTAAATGGTTCTACTTGTGATATTCTCGTGGCGTCACTGTTGTCCCACAATTGTCCTTTTTGAATTTTGACTACGCTTGGCTGAACAGAAATCTTCTCATTGATTAATTTGCTAATAGCAATGAAATAATAACTTGGCGCTGAAAACATCCCGTCAAATTTTATTTCGTTTTACGTTTATTTCGCTCTTTTTCGGAACAATCGAATATGCTCGTCCTCTCCATTCGGTTACGGTTTGCCTATGCCGCGCTGATAGGCTTTAGCGTTTCTCTATGTGAACAAGTCCGCAAGAACGATTTTAAGCGGACTTTCCAATTTTATTTCCAGGTATTTTTTTGGTATTTCCTTAGTTGATCGTAAGATCAACTTTTACTTAACCAAAGTCGTATGGTATTAACTAATAACTCTATAAATGTATCAAATCTTTGACTGTCGGACAAGACCTATTAAATATCATTAGTTTCTATCCTTATAGTAAGTAGAACAAAAAGCTCAGCAGCGATTATTTGCCCTAAATTTAAGAAACAATAAAACTGTAGTTTAAGGTAAAACTGCTACTTATTTTTGAACAACAAGTGTTTTTCTGGTAAATTTATATTACTTTACTTTACTTTAGTTCGAAAATATATTACAAGAAAGAGAATATTAATTTTAGTGGTAAAGCCTACTACTCAGATCGGCTAAGAGTTTCACTAGTCGAAAAATCGTATTCTTTGGAGTATGACCGAAGTTTTCAAAGTTCACCCGCAATGCATGTGGCAGGGTCTTACTGTCATGCAGCTGGGCTTGTTCCCAAACAGAAAACAAATCAAATCTAGCAATTTAAAAAAGAAAAGTCTGCTGGTGCACAAAGAAATAAAAATAAAAATACATGAAACGAATGCTTTTATTTATGGAAATTATAAGTTTAAGGCTTCTTTCTCGTCCCACGGGTGCTTCGTCATCTTTCCCGCGTCATCTGTAGTCCAGCTCCGAATCCCAATAGGCATATTGAACCTTTAGGATGTGGGAGCCGAATTGGGAACGGGGTTGTTCCGCCTGATGCTGCATGAAGTCGCCCAGCATCCTAGTAATAGCTGGTGATTGCTCCTCCAGCTGCCCCTTAGCGGACGACCATATTTCCTCCTCCCTATAGAAGCCGGCGCGTCGTCCATCTCCGTTTTAGCTGCCAAGTAGCTGGTGGAGGTGGAGTCCGGTGGTTCCCCAATGGAGAGATCGAGCGATGTCCCATGTTCCTTCCCACTGGGATTATCTATTGGATCTCCTCCAGCACTTTAACTATTGTGCGGATTTGCCCCGCTGTGGTATTGCTCCCTGTCGGTCAAATCCCACAATAACGGGCAACAGCTTGGATTAGGTGTCCTTTTTCATCTGCACTGACCTCCTTAGGCAAATTTTTTCCATTTTTAATTTTTAAATTTCCCACGAACACCGGCAAAGATAAAATTTCTTATTCTTTGGGCCGCGGCTAACGGCGTTCATCGAAATTCACTCGCGAAATCTGGTATTTTTTCTGGTATTTCCTTAGCTTATCTGAAAAACAGACCCGACGAAAAACGTTAGCTGCGAGTTTGCCTCTCGCTCACTCCTATGGTTAGCTCGCGGTTTTCGTCGATGTGAGTACTAGGCTTAAATTTTTTGGACTTTGTTATAAAGTGTTTTTTTAGAGCAGGATGGTATTATATATCGATAACTCCGCGGTCACGCTGAAAATATTTTACATCTGGTAACACTAAATCAGCGCGTCGTTTTCAAAGTCTCTTTCATTCTTCGCCGGCTCGTGAGTTTAAGTTTTAAGTTTTAAAAAGCTGGAATAATGGCTGATGATCAGGGACGTGGGCGCAGGCGTCCACTTGATGAGGAAGAACCCTCAACTTCCCGAGGCAATAGAGATGGACCGGTAAGTACATTATTCTTTCATATATTAACTATTTAGAAACGGTAAAATTGTTGCCTCCATAAGCACATTCGCTTAAATTCCGTTATGGGGTCTCGCTTAAGTCTACATATTGTATACAACCAAACATACAAATATAGCTTCCCTAGACGCGTTTATAAAATGTGAGTGTGTTAGTATAAACAAGATTTTGCGTGTTTCTTATTTTCGAAGCCTGCCCCCAAAGAGAAACACTGATAATCAAAATTGAATAAACAAACAAAAAGCCGCTTTCGATATTTCTGGAAAAAGGAGCAAGCAAATCTTTTCTGGGCAGCACATTGTAAGAAAGTGTACAATTTCGCAGTAAAATTCTTCTGCAAGCGTACACTCATCTCAAATTTCTGCTGTGTATGCGCTTCTTTTAAAGGAAATCAATTTTGTTCCACGAATATGCATATGTACATATGTACATATTAAATCGCTTCTTTCAACTACTAATACAAGTTTGGAAATAAAGTTCCTGTACAGTTGTCATTTTCATCTTTTCGCTTTTTTTTAATATTGAGGATAGATGACAACATAAGCAAATTCTAACTAGAAACACTATGTATTTTATTTATAATTCCTTTTTGTATCTCCATCAATCTCTCTTTTTTTATTTTTCCAAGAATTGCGTATAATGTAGGCTCAAAGAATGCTTTTCAGAAAAGCACACCTAAAAATCTTTTTTGATGAGTAGAAGGGGCAAGTGCCAGTTTAAATACATACACATATATGCTATTATTGTTGCACTAATAAATTAAAGGGCTATTAAGGAGAATAAATATATTAAGCAGATAATGCCCAGCTAATTTGTTGTATCGCTATCTCTTTCCTAACTTAAACTGCGTATATTGTTTTCATATAGTTGTACCGTTCTCTCTAAAAAGAGAGTACGCTTCCCGAACGAAATATCCGCCAAATTGGAAGGCTTGCGGGTTGGATTTTGTTTTGTTGTAAAAAGAGAGTACGCTTCCCAAACGAAATATCCGCCAAATTGGAAGGCTTGCGAGTTGGATTTTGTTTAAAATATGATTTGCAGCCATACTATTTTATCTACATACAGTAAATATCTTTACTGTTGGCGCACTTAGCATCTTGAACTTAAAGTATTAAAAAAAAAATCACAACAATGGATACAGGGAATATAAATTAATAAATTTCTTTAATTTTGCAAGTAGTATATAAGTCGGAACCAGCCGGATCGGACAACTATATCTTATAGCTCACATAGAAGTAATCGAATTTTTTTTTTTAATTATATCTTTGGTGATTTTAAACATATAATTTCCTCATCTTGGAAATAACATTTTTTAATTAGTTCAGAATTTCAAATTTAATTTTATCAAAATCGGACGACTATAACATATAGCTGCCATAGGAACGATCGTAAAATTGGTGGGAAAATAATATGAAACAAATTATAGCTTCGGTGTTTTTTGACACTATTGGGAATATAATTTTTTTTTCAGGATATTCACCCAATAAACTTTCAAAAATACGTGTATGGTGTCAAGTACATTAATTTTGATTTTTTACAAAATTAATTGGTTTGGGATATAGAGCCGTGAAAGTGTTAAAGTGTAAATGTAGTTTGTATTCTTACTGAAAATGATATCTCCTTTGTTAATAGCTCCGTTGAAAAGTTATGCCAAAAACAAGATTCTGGGGGACTTTTCAAATTTAAATTTTTAGTTTTTGCTGTCATTCTATCTTGAAACCATTTAATCGGTGTAAGCCTTAACGAAACTTTTTTTGGTAATACTCTAGATTAGGGGGCTCACCCCCAAAATTTTCAAAAAAAAAATTGTCCTCGATGGACCGCGATTTCTTAAGAATTTACGTGCAAAAAGAACTTGGCGGTCGGTCATGGTTCTCTTGTAATTGAATTTCAAAGTTCCCGGTTTTGCTATAAAAAACAAGGCTCGCTTTGCTCCTCCTTGCGCTCCCCTTTAACTCGACTTTGATAGTAGGGCCGCTACTTGTAGAGGTATACTAGATTCGTTGGAAAGTGTAAAGCGGAAAGAATGTGCTACGCCCATTATAACGCCCCTGTTCTTAGGTCAATTGATAGTCTTTAACGAGAGCCGATACATTCAGTTGAAATTTGTATTCTTTGGTACCGAAAAATGATTTACCCCTGACTAAGTGTAGTTCAAATTCTCCCTTATGGCCCGCCGCAAAAGAAAATGCCTGTGAAGGTAAAAACTCCAATGTTTTGCTGAATCGAGCCGTATAAATGTAATTATTTGGTCAAATGTAGAATAATTCTTCGTCACAAAATTTTATATTTAAAACACAATTCATTTCTTTTTTTGCGAACATTGAGCGAAACTATGATTAATTTTTTGGTTTTGTAGGACAGAACACAAGTTAATTTACATCTTATCTTATACAGCAAAGCAAAATATTCAAAGGGGCTTCATCGGATGTTTCGAGAACAGATCCTCGTGTCGAGCGCGGCGACATTCCGCATGATCGAGAGAGAGAAGTTCCTGATCCAGCTCCCAGGCGAGAGGAGCGTGGCCCTCCAGAGCGTAAACCGCGGGGCGATTTCTTTGAGATCGTGAATTCCCGTCCAGCTGACTTGGTATCTAAAAAAGGAACTGACGGAAAACCAGTAATGCTGGAAACAAACTTCTTTCGACTAAATACTAAGCCGGAGTGGCGAATCGTACATTACCACGTGGAGTTCGAGCCAAGCATTGAGAACCCTCGCGTTCGGATGGGTGTACTGTCGAATCATGCTAACATCCTGGGATCGGGCTACCTCTTTGACGGTCTGCAACTGTTCACCACCCGAAAATTCGATCAGCAATTAACCGTGCTTGCTGGAAAGTCCAAACTTGATATTGATTACAAAATATCAATCAAGTTTGTTGGATTTATATCTACTGCAGAGCCTCGCTTTTTGCAAGTGTTAAATCTAATATTGCGCCGCTCGATGAAAGGTCTTAAGCTGGAGTTAGTGGGTCGCAATCTCTTTGATCCGCGAGCTAAGGTAACATGTAATTTTAAAACAATTGAAATAATTTAAAACATTTCAAATTTTAGGTCGAGATTAGAGAGTTCAGAATGGAACTGTGGCCGGGCTATGAAACATCGATCCGGCAACACGAAAAGGATATCTTATTGTCCACCGAGATAACTCACAAAGTCATGCGCACTGAAACGGTTTATGATATTTTGCGACGTTGCTCGCAAAATCCTGCTAGACACCAGGATGAGTTCCGCGTGAATGTTTTGGATTTGATTGTCTTAACCGATTATAATAACAAAACTTATCGTATCAATGATGTTGACTTTGGGCAAACTCCGAAGTCAACATTCAGTTGCAAGGGCAGGGACATCAGTTTTGTGGAGTACTATCTCACTGTAGGTTTTTTCATATTCCAAAGACATTAAATATTTACTATTTAAATTATTTTTTTTTCACAGAAATATAACATACGCATACGGGATCATAATCAGCCGCTGTTAATATCGAAAAATAGAGACTCGGCTCAAAAAACCAACGCCAGTGAATTAGTGGTCCTTATTCCTGAGCTTTGCCGAGTGACTGGTCTTACTGACGATATGCGATCAAACTTTCAGTAAGATTTTCGACACATATATGCTTTTGCACAAGTTTATTTACTTCACACGTTTAGCAGATAGGATATGTTAGGAAATCACTTTGCCCCTTCCATCCTAATAATCAAATAGTTTAGTTGACCTCCCCTACCAAAAATTTCGCACATTTCGGGTACAAGCTGTGTATTTACGCGGTGCATGTGACCGAAAAGAACAGTTATTATACCCGTTACTCGTAGAGTAAAAGGGTATACTAGATTCGTCGGAAAGTATGTAACAGGCAGAAGGAAGCGTTTCCGACCCCATAAAGTATATATATTCTTGATCAGGATCACTAGCCGAGTCGATCTAGCCATGTCCGTCTGTCCGTCTGTCCGTCTGTCCGTCTGTCCGTCTGACCGTCTGTCCGTCTGTCTGTCCGGATGAACGCTGAGATCTCGGAAACTATGAGAGTTAGGCTATTGAGATTTGGCGTACAGATTCCTGAGCTTCTTACGCAGCGCAAGTTTGTTTCAGTAGACTGCCACGCCCACTCTAACGCCCACAAACCGCCCAAAACTGAAACTCCTACAGTTTTGATGCTAGATAGAAAATTTTAACTGAAATGTATTGTTCTCATCAATACCTATCGATTGACCTAAAAAAAAGTTTGCCACGCCCACTTAAACGCCCACAAACCGCGAAAACCTGTGACGCCCACAATTTGGATGCTAGATGAAAAATTTGAGCTGAAATGTATTGGTGTCGTCAATACCTATCGATTGATCCAAAAATAAATTTGCCACGCCCACTCTAACGCCCATAACGCTTAAATCTGTCTACCGCCGGTAGGTGGCGCATTTTAATTTCGCTTTGCTGCTTGCATATCTCCATTTCCCTTTGAGTAACGGGTATCTGATAGTCGAGGTACTCGACTATAGCGTTCTTCCTTGTTTATTTATACAGCTGTGTTCATTAAAATAGCAGTGCGACAGAAGCGAAACTATATAACGGTTTATTAGCACAGTCCTTTTCGTTAGTTGATCGCTAGTACATTTCTTTTTTGTAGAATGGATCATAGAGTTACAAAACATGCAAAAACCCCATTAGATTTGGTCTGTTTTTGGGTTTCTTTCATATTTTTGCACATGGACACAACATTTGGGCTGTTCACTAAAATAGCAGTTTTTGATTTTCTTCCAGGCAAAGTCCCGAAAATGTTTGTAATTTGGTAAAAATTGGGTTTAATAAAGACCATTATTATAAATTGAACCATAATACACTATAACTATAGAAAAAAATAACTTTAGTGGGTAGAGGACCTCATTGCTTCAAGGGAGAAAGGAAAAATTGATTGAGCTTAGAAAGGAGGGCAAAACGTATCAATATATTCAGTGTCCCTTAAAATGTCCAGCCAATATGGTTTACAATGCCATAAATTATGAACCGAAGCCCGAAAAACGTTATGCGATGCGGAAAACCACAATTATAGAGGACGTTCGCAAAGTGCGCTTCAGTAAAACTTATCCTTTTGCATCCTGCAGGACTATAAATGCGGATCTGAGCTTGGGAATCAGGGATGGTCTGTTTGATGAAAATTTGAATGCTAGAAGTCCACCAAAGGAGCCATTACTTTGTAAAAGACACCCCAAAGACAGGTTGAAGTTTGCCAAAAGCCACTTGAACTAGCCACTTTCAAAAGGTCGATATATCCTTTGGACAGATGAGTCTTAGCTGGTGTTTTTTGGTTTAACATGTTCCAAATAGTATGTCCGTCGACCACCAAACACCGGGTACCACCCAAAACAAAATCTCAAGACCGTTAAGCAGGTGGCATTAAAATCATGGTATGGGCATGTTTCTCATACAGCGTTTTGGGCCCCATACGATGAGATCATGGACCCCAACATGTTTACGTAAATATACTGAGAAACGTAATTCTGTCGTATACTGATGATGAAATTTCCTAAACATGGACATTTCAGCAGGACAATGATTCTAAACACACCAATAAATTGGTCAAGGAATGGTTTAGCCAAAAACAAATTGACGTAATGCCGTGTCCAGCACAGTCCCTGGATTTAAATCCAATTGAGAACTTATCGAGGAACATAAGCGTTTTGTTGCCAAGAAATCCCCGACTTAGCCGCAGCTTTGGCAAGTTGTGCAGGAGGGATGGGGTCAGATTTCCCGCAAACCTTACAAGGACTTGGTGGACTCCATGCCACGTAGGTGTTAGCCTGTAATAGCCAATAAAGGCTATACAAAAAATATTGTGTCGTAATCAAATCGATATTTAGTAGAATTAAGTTAATTATGAGCCATATTGAACTTTATCATATTTTTCTTTTAAGACTGCTATTTCAATGAACACCATAATTCAGTCTTTCTTGCCCAACAGGAAAAAACAGTTAAATTATTTAAAAATAAATAATCAAAACTGTTGTATCTAAGTTTAGTTTCAATGTTGTGTTTATAATAGTGTTTTTCGATTTTATACGTGCAGGTCGTATGCACTGCTATTTCAATAAACACAGCTGTAGGTCGTGATAAAAAAATGTCTAAGCTTACATATACATTTGGTTACTCCTAATGTATTAGTTTATCAAAAAACTTTAATTTTGCGACTTAAAAATGTATTTTAAAGTCCCAAATAGCTGATTTTTCTTTTTATACCCGTTACTCGTAGAGTAAAAGGGTATACTAGATTCGTCGGAAAGAATGTAACAGGCAGAAGGAAGCGTTTCCGACCATAAAGTATATATATATTCTTGATCAGGATCACTAGCCGAATCGATCTAGCCATGTCCGTCTGTCCGTATAAACGCTGAGATCTCGGAAACTATACAAGCTACAATACTGGGATTAGGCATGCAGATTCCTGAGATTCCTGCGCAGCGCAAGTTTGTCTCAGCAGAGTGCCATGACCACTCTAACGCCCACAAACTGCCCATACAGTTTTGATGCTAGAATAAAAATTTTAGCTGACATGTATTGTTCTCATCAATACCTATCGATTGACCAAAAAAAAGTTTGCCACGCCCACAAACTGCCCAAGCCTATGACGCCCACAATTTTCATGTTAGATAAAGATTTTATCTTAAATGTATTGGTCTCGTTAATACCTATCGATTAATCCAAAAAATACTTTGCCACGCCCACTCTAACGCCCATAACGCTGAAATCTCTCTACCGCCGGTAGGGGGCGCATTTCAATCTCGCTTTGCTGCTTGCATATCTGTTGATCAATCGATAGGTATTGACGAGACCAATACATTTCAGTTAAAATTTTTTATCTAGCATGAAAATTGTGGGCGTCACAGGTTATCGCGGTTTGTGGGCGTTAAAGTGGGCGTGGCAAACTTTTTTTTTGGGTCAATCGATAGGTATTGATGAGAACAATACATTTCAGTTAAAATTTTTATTCTAGCATCAAAACTGTAGGAGCTACAGCGGTTTGTGGGCGTTATAGTGGGCGTGGCACTCTGCTGAAACAAACTTGCGCTGCGTAAGAAGCTCAGGAATCTGCACGCCAAATCTCAATAGCCTAGCTCCCATAGTTTCCGAGATCTCAGCGTTCATTCAGACAGGCAGACGGACAGACGGACATGGCTAGTTCGACTCGGCTAGTGATCCTGATCAAGAATATATATACTTTATAGGGTCGGAAACGCTTCCTTCTGCCTGTTACATACTTTCCGACGAATCTAGTATACCCTTTTACTCTACGAGTAACGGGTATAACAAGAGAACGCTATAGCCGTTACTCAGCTTAAGGGACTGCTATTTTCACAAACACACCTAGCCTATAGCGCCACCTATCTTCTTCTATGTCGCCATATTTTCTATAGCGCCCTTGGCGGCTTGATGGCGTATTAGTAAAAACATTTGATTTATGGCATACCGAGTGCAAGCTCTCTTAAATTGCAAAATATTGATTATTTTTTGGTTATAACCTTTTAATGGGCGTTAGTTTGCTGAAACAAACTTTAAAAAAAGCAATTGCTTTGGAAGAAAGAGCGGTGAAAGTGTAAAAGTGTAAGTTAAGAAAATATGATTGGTTGGGGCCGTTGGGGATAAATGCACAACTTCTTTAGTCTAATTGAATTTTCTCTTAAATTACACCTAATTTTTTTTAATCGGATGATCCGTTCAAAAGTAATACGCAAAACAAGATTTTGGAGGACTTCTTAAAATGAAAATTTTATTTTGTTTGTCAGTTAGTCCCGTTATTTGGCAGGAAAACATCTATAAATAGCTAAATTTTGTACACCCGTAACTTGTGAACTACTAAAGCTTGTGCTATATGCCGTTAGAAAGGTATTTGGAAATACTTTGTACGCCTTCTAACATGATTTGTCCAAATACCACCGTTTAAAAATTATGGGCAAACGTTTTTATTTTATTCAGATCTTTTAGCTTATTTTTATTTCTCAAAAACGGCTTTAACGATTTTGGTTTAATCATAAAAGTGTATAGCTTTTGAGATTTCTCAACTTTTGACACACGACACGTTGTTGTAAAAAGTCACATTTTAAAGTTATTAATAAACAATAATGGATATATTTACCAGTTCAGAACATCTAACACTGCCTAAGCATTTAACTTTTTTTGTGCGTATCCAAACTCTATTTTAAGGTCCTGGACATTTGAGTTGATGTTTAACAGCTTAATATAAGAATCTTTAGTTATACACCCGTTACTTGTGAATTTCTAAACATGATTTGTCTAAGTACCATCGTTACAAAAACGATCTCTGTTAAATCTTTAAACTGTATAGCCCTTGAGATTCCTCAACTTTGGACAACATTGAAGTTTGTATGTGCGTATCCAAACGCTTTTTCAATGTCTTGGAATCATTTAAATTGCTATCAACAGTTCCATATCAGAAACTTAAGTTCTATGGGAAAGTAGACTAATTTTATGATTGATGCTTAAATCAAAAAACTTCTGATATCAAACAAAAACACCTGTTAACGAGGTAAATATCTAGTGACGATCGCACCTTCAACAAACAAAAGTTCTGATATCAACTTTTGTGACTAAAATGTATTATACGATCTACTAAATAAAAACACTAACATTTTTTACGTTCGGCACGCTGCAATTCAATGTGCCTGTGTTTAGCTGTTTATAAAAATTTATATAGTGCATTTATTTAGAAGATCGTATAACATATTTTCGTCACATTTGTCAGTTAATATGTCAAAAACACCAAAGATGTACTTTTCTTAAATTTATTTAAAAATATTTTTTTTGATCATTCTAATGAAAGTTATAAGATATAGTTTTCCGATTCGTTTCGTTCCGACTTATATACTACCTGCAAATACAACTTTTGGGAAGGTTTCATCGCGATTGCTTTAAAAGTAAGAGACTAGGTCAAGTAGAATCGGACATGGCTAGATCGACTCGTCTAGTGATGCTGACCAAGAATGTATATACTTTAGGGGGTCGGAAGGGTCTCCCTCACCGCGTTGCAAACTTCTGACTGAAATCATTTACCTTTTGAAGAACACGTATGATACAAATGTAAAGTTTCACTTGCTTACATAACTGCAAAAATCACAATCACTTCCTTATGTCAGTCAATATAAATTTTACACGACTAGGCCCTGAAGTCTTAAATTGAAGTCTTTAAATTCATTATCAAATTTATATTTATTGTGGGATATTTACTGGGGATAAGAGTTTTAAAAGGATGCAACTGTATTTTATTCGCTTACACTTATCCTGTTTTCTTGGGATCTGACAAAATGATCTTTGCGTGATTTGTGTACCCCAAGTGAATTGCTGCATAGTAGATTTAAAATAGCTTTGTTTAGGTCCCAATTTAGTTATATGGATAATTTATTTTCAGACTAATGCGAGCCATGCATGGTCACACGCGAATGAATCCCAAGCAACGCATAGATCGACTGCGAAATTTCAACCACCGCTTGCAAAGCACTCCAGAAAGTGTGAAAGTACTAAAAGACTGGAACATGGATCTCGACAAGAATCTCACGGTAGTAAGAGGCCGCATTATCGAACCGCAGAAGATAGTGTTCCAACAGGGAAAGTGAGTCCGTGGAAATTCTAACGTAATGTGGTCCAATAAAATAATGTTTTCAGGGTTCCGGCTGGGGAAAACGCCGATTGGACAAGATCTTTCAGAGACCAAAAGATGCTTACCACTCCATCCGAAGGCATCGATCGCTGGGCAGTCATTGCTCCAGAGAAAAATTCTCGTGAACTAAGAAATTTGCTTGAGCATTTGTTCAGAGCAGCTAGTGGAATGGGTCTCAGAATTAGAAACCCTCAGGAGTGAGCATATTAAACGCACCCATACCTAACCTTACGGATTCGCCAATCCTTTGTGGATCGAGTGAAATCCGTAATGAGTGGTTTCGGATGCCTATTGTTTTTTCTTGTTATCCTTTACTCTATCTATAAATAATTGTATTTCTAGAGTCAAAATTTATGACGATCGCACCGCCACATATGTGCGAGCTTTGGATGATTGTGCCCGGATGGATCTCAAACTGATCTTATGCCTGGTCCCCAATATCAACGTGGAAAGGTATTTATGTCCAATTTTTTTTTATAACTCAATAATTATTGTTTGCATATTGCATATGCATATAAAAAAATGTATAGTTCAAATACCTGTTATCTGAGCTAAAATACACACAAAACAATTTTTTAATTTCAGATACTCGGCGATTAAAAAGAGAGGATATGTTGATAGAGCTGTGCCAACTCAAGTTGTGACCACTAAAACAGCTTCCAATCGTAGCCTTATGAGCATCGCTACAAAAATAGCAATCCAATTGAATTGCAAGTTGGGGTATACTCCCTGGATGATCGAGCTACCTTTGTCTGGGTTAATGACGATCGGATTTGACATTGCGAAGAGCACACGTGATCGCAAGAGGGCCTACGGAGCGTTGGTCGCTTCCATGGATCTTCAACAGAATTCTACGTACTTCAGCACCGTCTCGGAGTGCAGTGCCTTCGATGTGCTGTCCAACACCCTTTGGCCAATGATAGGGAAGGCCCTGCGTCAGTATCATCGAGAGCATAAGAAGCTGCCCGCCCGTATAGTATTTTATCGGGACGGTGTCAGCTCAGGTTCTCTAAAGCAGCTATTTGAGTATGAGGTGAAGGACATCATAGAAAAACTGGAAGCGGAATATAAGCGAGCCAATTCTGCTCCACCGCAGTTAGCTTACATTGTGGTTACCAAATCGATGAACGCGCGTTTCTTTCTCAATGGACAAAACCCACCGCCTGGAACTGTCGTCGACGACGTTATTACTCTCCCCGAACGCTACGATTTCTATCTGGTTTCGCAACAAGTTCGCCAGGGAACAGTGTCGCCGACGAGCTACAACGTCCTTTACAGTAACATGGGTATCAGCCCCGAAAAAATGCAAAAGCTCACCTATAAGATGTGCCATTTGTACTACAATTGGTCGGGCACCACACGTGTGCCTGCCGTTTGCCAGTATGCCAAAAAACTTGCTACCCTTGTCGGTACAAACTTACACTCCATTCCGCAAAATGCGCTTGAAAAGAAGTTTTATTATCTTTAAATCTGTATTTATTAAGAAAAACTTTACGCCGTAAGAGGCAGTAAAAAAACTAGCCCAGGCCTTTTCGTTTTACAAATATTTTCCTTTTTGTTTAAACACTTCTGCATTAAGATGAATATGTAACCATAATCCGGTTAAAATTCCTTCTGAAAAAAATCCTATTTAAAACACTTAAGATTTAAAATTAATTTGACATCTACAATTTCCGGTATTTAATCATTACCAATGGAAATCTTGTCAAAGTTACTAATAAACAATAAAAAGAAAATTCAAGAACACGAAAGTTTATTTCTTTTAATTTTGAGTATAATTACTTTATTTATATTATATATTTTACTTTATATAAAGAAAAATTACATACATCAATGTTCGCTTATTTAACCACACATCCATGGCTGCTTATTTCGTGAAACATATGTTATTAATTATACAGGTATTTAACTTTCACAAGGATAATACAAAATTCATAGCTTGTTGAGTATATTGAAATGCTACGGAGTTCGATATTTTAATGTATTTGTATTTACAAAATTCTAAATTTTCGTTTTGGATAAGTGTTTTTATTAATCGTATCGATTGCAAGTTTGGGGTAGGATTGAGTTCAGTGATAATATCGATTATTTATAATTTAATATCCAAACACCGACTACTATGATACAGAAGCCCATATCTATTTAGACCTTGACTCCCAGAAAAGCGAAAAAACAACGAATCGCTTCTTCTGGATTGTCGTCTAGGCTTAAAGTTCAAATGCGTTTACTATAGCGATTACTTTAACGATAATTACTCGTTGGTGTATATACAATTCTATTAAAGTTTTTGATTTTAGATATATTATTTAGGATTAGGTGTATTTTGTTTAAAGGGTGGTAGAAAAGCTTTGGTGCTTTTGTGTAATCCAATTGCATACCACGCTTGGTTTAGACCATCGTATGGATTAATTCTCTTTGGAATTACTTTTTCTTTTTGTTTTTTAAAATTATTTCGGGCTTTAACGAGTTAATCAGGGATCAAGCCGATGTTTCATTTGGTTCTATCCAGCCCTCACTGTCATCCTCGCTATCGGAATCTTCGGACTCTGATAATTCGATAGCCACACGTCTGGCCAAGATTGAGGCCACATCCAGTGGCGCCGCGTTGCGTTCGATTTCCTTCTGCTCCGACTTTTCAACCTTGCGTAAAGTAATACCTGAAAATAATATTTTGATTAATAACCGACTATCAGATACCCGTTGCTCTGTTCTAAATAAAATAAAATATTAGCGCGCTACGGCACCTAGGGGATGGTAGTGGTACTATTGATCATGTCAAAGCCTGATTAACCTGGTCATAACTTTTAAAATAATGCGATTGGAACCATTCTCAGCGTTTGGATAAAATCAATTTAAATTTGCACTTTTACCAAGTTTTAGTGTTATGGGCGTTAGAGTGGGAATAGCACCCCGCTGCGCAAGAAGCTCTAAAATCTACATGCTTAATCCTTAACTTTCATACAAACTGACAGACGGCTAGTAATCCTGATCAGGAATATACGTATGTAAATATGTATATTCTTTACGGGGTCGGAAACGCTTCTTTTTACCTGTTACACACTTTCCGACGAATCTAACATACTCTACGGTTCACAGCTATAATCAATGGCATTTTATAAAATGACAAAATATTGCCATTCTATTCCTAGGGGCACTTAATTAATTATTTCCCCAATTTATACTTTGTTTTAGATTTGTAAGTACAAAACTCCACATTAAGAAGTTGGCTTCTAAATGCGTGGAAGGTTTGAACGTCCTATCTTTAGCATTAAAGCGATGTTAATAAACGATATTTCATGGAATTACTTACCATCCCGAATGGCCTTCATCAAATCATTGCGTGGGTCGTGGAATGGAGGCAACATCTTTTTAGGTGCGACAATGTGGGGCACACCATTTTGTTGGCCAGGCTGCATTTCACCGTTGGCCAATGATTTGGGCAGAATTTGGTGCGGGCGCAGCGTGTGCTGGTTGCCACTACCCATTCCCTCCTCTACAGGTGGTGGTGGAGGAGGCGGCGGTGGAGCGGCGTTAGGTGGCGACATCTTGGGCGAATGCTGCAAGGGATTCCCATTAGTTATGTACAATTGAGATTTAATAAAAAAAAAAACAATGTAACAAACCTGATCTGGAACCGGCGGTGGTGGCGGCAAGTCGCTAAGGGAGTTCAGTTGGTTGCCCGCCATCCCGATGCTGTGGAAAGTATTGCTCAGCTGCGTCATGACCATATCATTGGCATTTTGGACGCTGTTGGGGGTCATCTGCGGAGATCCAGCTCCCGACGAACTGTTTGCCCGGCCAAGCAGTTTGGCCGCCATGTGGCCGCTGTTGCCTCCGTTCATGGCGGACATTGGTGAAATGACGTCTGGAACTGGCGGAGGCGGTGGCAAGGCGTCCCGACTGGTCGACATACTTCTGCCCCGGGTCGGAGTGTTGGCATTTGAGGCTGTGGGCGTGCCTCCACCGCTGCCATTCGACGGCGGAGCCGGTGGCGGCTGAGAGGGACGCGGCTTATTCCGCGATGGTGTGCCCGGTCCGTAGATGGGTTCCGGCGACATGACACCCTGGCCCGTTTGGCCGTACAGCGCGTGTGACTGATACAGCCCTGCGTCGTATATCTGCTGATGCTGCATGTGCATCTGCTGGGGGCCACCCATTCCGTTGCCGAAGGTGGCCGCATACTGATTGCCCATCTGGGGAGGAAGTTGCTCGTAGGTACTACCATCGATCTGCTCGGAATGGTAGCTTCGGTTCAACTCGATCGAGTTGGGTCGAGGTGGACGAGTATCGTAAACTCCCATATCTAGAAAAACGGATGGGAAACATTAGAGCTATTGACTTTCGCCGAATGCAAGCAACGTTTTTACAGGACACACATCTCATTTAAAAAACACGCCAATTATTGTGTAATTACACTTGAGGAACATTAAGACATGTAATTACAAGCAATTCAGAATTTCTGTGCATGTGAGACTGGCCGCTGGACTCGTATATAAATTTTGATAAGTACAAACGTCATTCCGATTTGCAGTCTTTTTAAGCTCGCTGCACAGAAAACAATTTAGAGAAACTATCATAGAACAAGATGTGGCGACAGAAAGGAATTAGTAAAGCTGCAGAGTGACATGTAGACGTAGATATGGAAATTGACTGGACTACAACAGAAAGATAGGAGGATCCTAAACAAAAACTGCGGCTCAATCATAAATCGCGAGTATGAAATGAATTTAGTCAATATGCAAAACACATTGTAACCATAATGTGCATACACGTTACTTAAACATTACAAAGTAGGAAATGTCTAGTTTTACAGTGTTTTGTGATAAAAAATCTGCACTTTGCATGAACACGAAACTCATAAAATCACCGCGATTTTGACTGTTAGTTTGAATAGAGAGTTCTCTGTACACAGATATGCTAATAAAATCAAAAGGGGTTGCTAGAAAAGTAATAGAATAGAAGCGTGTGAAAGAACACTTATAGTCTTTGCTGAGCTTGCTTTAAGGTGTGTGGATGTCTAACCTGCAATCGCAACGGCGGTTTGCTTGGTGACATTACTGTTATTCTCCAAATGCGAAAGCATATTATAAGGCTTTATAGTATCTGTAAATGAGATGATTATGCGCGATTGATCCATTCGAAATTACAGAGCTAATTAAGTTTACGTTTATTATCGTAACGAAAAACCAGAAAAAGAATTTATTAAAACGACATGCAAATAAACAAAAGCTGTGAAAAAAGGTCGACGATTCGGAGTATGAAGTAGAAAGTTTTAGGGACCTTGTTTACGTCACTGAGGTATTGTTTTTAGTCGAAATGATCTCTCAATCAAAATTAGAGAATCATTTATTTTGAGGGTTCAGGGTTAAAATGACTCTTCTCTGTCAAAAATGAAATTATGCCTCAAGTGTTTTTTTCGTTAGTCATTGTTTTAATTGCACTCAAAAAAACTGAGATACAATTTTTTGGGATAATGTTAAAATATTTAAGTTTACGGAATTTTTCAATCAACACAAAAACATTTTCAACCTTTTTTGTGTGTTTTTCTGTTTAAAAGATCTTATATAGAGCTTATTGTGTGACGGATTTGTAAGCCCTGGAAACCTTGATTCGGTCACCTTTCTCTGGGTCGTGATAATGTGGGTTAATTCTAACTAGAGCAACTGCAAAATAATACGAATTAGTGATCCTCGATCTGGGTTTTGAGGCGAATCGAAAACTAGCGAGCTTTTGAGTGAAGTAGGTGAATGAATGGCGGGAACATCTGTATCGTGGGATGTCAGCCGGGCGCATATAAAAGCTACGAGGGGCCCCATCATCGTACCTACGTCTTGGATATTACCGACAACTTGGTGGTGCGCATCGAGAGTGCATTGCCGCAAATCGATGTCAGCCTCGCCCACAGTCTGTATTTTGACTAGCTGAACTACACGGGCAGACAGGACATAATTGATAATTAAAATATACCATTCGATTGCAAGACAAGTGCAAATATTCAGTGCGTGAAACAAACGTTCCAATAACATCCTATCAATTTGGTTCGCACTGAGTACTTGGCTCTTCCGATAACCAATCCCGTTGCGAAGTACTTACTTCCGTATCCGGCTTCTTCGTTCACCATCGAGTTTGGTGTGCGGTAGATGACGTTGTTGGGCATCAATGTTTCGCCGTGCACCAGGGCACGTTGTCGCTGCTGCTCGCGCGTGTTGTGCGGCACCCTTATTTTGGTCTTCTGCTTTTTGTTGCCACGTCCAGCCGGTCCGCCGGCTCCTCCTTCCTGTCGCGGTCTGTTTAGCTTCTTGCCCTTGTCGTGCATCACACGCTCGGTGTCCTTCAGCATCTCCTGGCGCCACAGCTCAAAGAAGTAATTGGGATCCGTGTAGAACTTGAGTCCATCCTTGCCATCGTCTCTGTAGACGTTGAGCTTGTCCAGCGGCGGCGGCTTGTCGCACTGAGCATATGTGTCCATCATGGGCGCCGGCATGGTGGCGCGCGAGAAGATTTGCTGGTCAAATACCTTGGCCGACTTGAACGCTTTTTTGCGAGTTATGTCCGTCAGGGGTACCTCCTCAACGGTGCTATCGAGCTGGGTCACCTTGATGGCCAGGCGATCGATGCGCGCCTGTAATGAGTTGGCCCGATCCCCGATATTGCCCACGTCACGGGCCAGTTCACCGAACACATCCTCGGCGTGTTTGGACAGCGAGGACAGCTGCCGGATGATGTTCGTCAGCGTTGTGTTGGTGACCGTCTCCAGCTCCACGGACTGGAGCTCATCCTGCTGGTAGACGGAGCGGGCCACATGCACGGGTTCTATCGATCTCTTGGGCAGCGGCATGGTCGGGCGCAATTAACAATTATCTCCAACTTGGCACACCCGTAAATTAGCGTGTCCTCATCGACTGAAAAACATAATTTAAATTAGATTTTAAAAAATTAAAATAAAAATTTAAAAAAATAACTATTATTGATTTTAGATTATTAAACTTTGATAAAAAATTAGTTTGTACATTGCTTATTTTTTATTTTTCGTATTATTATTTAAATTTAAATGAGCTAAACTAGACCGTTTTTCTAATATTGAACCGATTAGAAATCTGTTAAATCTTGTTAAGAAATTAATAATTTGATTTGATATGGAATCTGATGTCTAAAGATTATATTAAAAATAATCAATTAATTACAAGATTAGATATGTGACAATTTTTAAGACCACAGTCAAGTTTTCCATAAGCTTATAAGCTAATTGTAAATGGAAATAAGCTCAGTACAAGCAAAACAGTATTTTATATCAATCAAATTATGATAGATCTGTTCTAGTAGTCCAAATTCTCTAAAATAAAATGTGGGATGGGATTACCCTGGTTCAGATTATATTGAGTAAATGTTAATTTTAAGTGATTTTTCTGTTTGGAACTACTAAATTGGATGAAAAGTATATTTTAGCTTCTTTTTCTCAATGTTTTATTGATTAGTTAATTTGAAGGCTGTCGAATAGGCGTTAGGAAAATGTGTCACTAATGCACTAATCCGTTGACTAAAAAGAGTCACAATATCTTGGTACGTATTGTCATAGATTCCAAGAGATGCTTATCCATTTGAGACTTCTTATCCACAAACACCCAGTTGTTATTTGAATTATTTTGTGATATGCACGACTGGTATTCGACGTCTGGACCACACCCCACGGAAACGACACCCACAGTGCGGTGATAAGGGCGTAACGCCCAAGTCACCCCCGCAAGATGCATTCACACTGTCCCGGCGAGATTAGTCGATAATGCGCCCCTTTCTGGTGGCACTATCTGGGGGCTCCGACCTGAGGGCTTTACGTGGGCACCTCTATATGCCATACGTATACGTATATCTTTGGGCCCCCACCAACGCAAATTAGACCGTCACGCACTCACACACACGCCCCAGCACCCAAGTACGCGGACGTCGCTGTGTGAGTGTGTGGCTTTTGGGGCGACTTTACGCGATTTTCGCACTGAAACATTTGCACAGAATCGCAACAATACTCTGTATCTCTGTGCAGGCACTTTCTATTCCCACTGCGACTTCGATTTAAAACACACTCAGTTCGGTTTTGGTCTCAGTTCACACCTCTCCGCACACTCACCGCCCGTCACACTTTTCGACCCGCAGCAGGCAACACAACAAACATTAAGCAGCCACTTCCGTTTCGGGTGTTCGGTGGCAATTCGATCCAATGAAAACTCTAATTAGCCAATTTGGGGGCTTGAAAAATGCAAATATTTGCTCGTTTTGTGGAAACTAAGATTTCCACACCTTTGCAGTGTGACCGACGTTTTGCCGTTCGAAAATACCGCAGGGCTGCGGTAGCTCAAAAAAGAATGTATGCATAGTTGTAATTATGAATTAAAAACAAGAATATATTATTTTTGCCAAACTATTCTGTAAAATTAAATTGTTTTTCCAAAAATTAATTCTGTAGATATTTAATAAAAAATAAAATGGGACTTGGTATTTTTAGTATTCGACCACTAATCGATAAGTGCTCCGCCAGCCCTGGTCCATTTCCATAACATCTCTGTTTCGTAGCACACTGAATAGGTAAGGTTTTCCACACATTTCTCCAATTTCCTCTTGTATAATTCCCACTGTTTGTAGAACCAAATTGAAAAAATGGCGAGTTTGGCTACCAAGGGATCAGGACTTGTGAACAGTAAGTGTTGTGGCTTGAAAGCCAACGGTTTTTCGCTACCAACTCAGCGCCTACTAATTGCAAAATTATGTAATGATCGTTTTCGCAGGGCTCCTTACTCAGGCGAGGCCACAACTGGACGTGTTCCTGAAATACGCCAAGGTGGAGCTGACGCCCCCGACGCCCGCCGACATTCCGGCCATCCGCCAGGGACTCGGCAATATCCTCAAGGGAGCCAAGACCGGCGCCTACAAGAACCTCACCGTTCGCGAGGCCTGGCTTAACACTTTGGTGACCGCCGAGGTCATCTTCTGGTTCTACATCGGCGAGTGCATCGGCAAGCGCCACATTGTGGGCTACAACGTCTAATCTTAGTTATGTCTCCGCTTGGTAGTCACTGGAATGGCAAACGATACATTTCGACTCTGAATAAAGTGAAAATTGTAGTAACTTAGAAATCCGAAAATTTCAAGAAACCAAGAAAGGTCTTCTAAAAACTTTGTTATTCTACATTGGACATATGGTTTTCTTAGGTTAATAAGTTTTAATAACACAAAATCGAAGAATAACGTAACAAAATTCGTAATCGATCAAATATCATATTGGTAATTCAGTTTTATGCTCCAAGTTTATTTCAGAGCGTCCCAAGTGTTCTTATAAGCTTGCAATTTATCACTTTGAACACTAAAAAAACTGTTTTATGGACAGCTTGAGCCCTTAAAATATACGTTTCCGGAACATTAGTCCTAAAACAAACTACCGTTGATTTACCCTTAGAATGGATCGATGTGTGGCAGGCAGGAGATAGAATATTTAGAAAAAATTTAAGGACGGTTGCTTGAAGTCATTATTTAATACGATAATTTTTCGAAAGCTAAAAAAGCGGTGCTTTTTAATAATGGAAGCTAAATAGAGTGTGGAATTTCTAAAATTGTAGAAAATTTCATGATCGAGGGTGTCACATAATTCTCATACAAGCATAGATTTGTAGAATTTGTATTGAAGTATAATTGTTTGTCTTAGGAATACAAATGTGTAGATCATTAAAATGTAAACCAAATATAAGTTTTACACGACTGAAGTGATTAGTAAAGGGTAAATTGGATCTTTCCAAGCATCTGCTGTCGTGTCGGTATACATACATATCTATGTATGTAAGTGTATACAGTTAAGGTTCACTAGTTGTTATTTCCGGAATATATTTAATTTGTTAGGCATTCTGTTAGAAACCTATACATATCTTTGCCTAAAATTTATATTTACTTACAGAAAGTATTTCTACGATTTTCTTTAAACATTGAAATGTAGGCTCGATAGAAATTTTCACAATTTTTTAATTATTTAAATTAGAGTGAATAAAAGCATTTTGTCTTTAAATTAATATTTAATTAAATTGTGTGTAAGGGTTAAGTACTGTAGCGGGAGTATATTTTGAGAGTATAGTCGCGGTCACACTAAAATTGCATTATTTTGGAATTGCGATCAGCAACCATCTGTTGCACAAAAAGCGCCAAAAGGTTCGAGCCGGTTTGACAGGGATAGCAAGGGCTGATCCATGGTCAGCCAAAATGGCCTACGAGCGACGCCTCCGATCGCAGAACCTCGTGCACCTGCTCCAGAACCGCGAATCCGGATACACCTGCGCGGGCAGTCAGCTGGGCAGGATGCCACGGTTGGCCTACGAACGCCCCTTCTACAAATGCATCACGCCCTGCCTGACCATTGACTCAATCTCGATTCCGCCAGTATACCTGCGCAAGTTCACGCCGGATGGCAGCAAATTGCTCGCCTTCTCGCAGGATCAGCGCAGCCTGCACATCTACCGCTACAGAGGATTCAGCAGTGCGGCGGTGGGCGAACTGATCCGCCAGGCGGATGTGGGCAGTGGCGAGTGCTTCAGCAGCCAGGAAAGCACACTCAAAAGCACGATCTTTGAACGCCTGTTCGCCACCAAGGAGGCACTGAGTCTGCGACTGTGTCAAGGCGACTACAGTCTCTACTATCTGCACCGAGAGTTTAGTGTGTTTCTGGAGGAGGGCCGGTATGTCCTGCTGGCAGCCATGTCCGTGCTGCGTAATGCCCTGCCCTTCGACGACTACGTCCGGTATCCAGATCTCTTCGACAAGCTGGACGCCTTCTCCTATGTGTTCTTCGTGGTGGACCTGAAACTGGGCGTGGTAACCGACAGGCTCCTCCTGGCGCACGACTCCATCGTGATTGCCCACAATCATGGCATTTCGGTCTTTGGCTCCAAGGTGGCGATCATGTCGCGGCTGCACCAGTGCATCTACGTCTACTGTGTGGCGGAGGGCAAGTTCCACAAGCAGGAAACGATTGGCCCCCGTCCGCGAAACTTTATCGAGAAGGCTCCCAGCAGTATTGAAAACCTGGATGCGACTACGGTTCTGCCCATTACGCACATTAAACAGCGCGTTCTTAGCTTCCTTTACCGCCAAATTGACCTCAATAGCCCAAGTGCCAAGGAGAAACTTAAGGAGTTTTACAAAAACTTTGAGTTTGTAAGTCATATGGTTATAAGTTTCGATTTTTACGTATTTGGGAATGTCCCAATAATATTTTTCAACCGTTATTTTAGCCATCCTGAAATCTTGAAAAATGAATAGAATAAAATAGAAAACCATAACTAATAAGTTTCGTTCATTAGGTGGAGCACATGATTATGGAGAGGATGCAACTGGTAAACAAGGAACTTCTCCTTTTGCGCTACGAAGAACGCCCAAAAGACAGCGATACCATGCCAATGGCCCAATCACCCCGCCGCTTGTATGTGTTCTACACGATATCTGCCGAGGAAGTAGTTGGTGTGTATCCAGATTATTCCGTCGACCTGCTGCAAATTATACTACAGTTCTACGATGAGATGAGCAATGTACGATCGCTGCAAACCGGAGACGCGCCCTCATTGCCCCTGCATTTCTTCCTCAAACAAAACTTCGTGGACGCCAACGATTCGATTCTCTTCGTCCGACATGCGGCGTTGCGATTTAACCCCAGTGTTCCCGTCAGCTCCCAGAGCCTCTCGCCATCTCCCTATCTGAGGTTCAACGAATTCAGCTTTGACGATCGGCACGTATCGCCGCTGGAGCGACCCAATCCCTGCTCCGCCGAACCCATTGTCTTCCGAGATCGGACCACACAGTCGGTCAAGTTCAGGCTGCACGCCACGGCGCGCAGGCAAATCAACTCTTTGGCACCTCGGGAACTGTGCGCCTTCATTTGGCATCCGTTCGAGCCGCTAGTACTCAGCATTCAGAAATGCATGAACAGCTACGCCTACCATGTGCATCTGTACAATCACGGCACGGTAGTGGAGCAGGCAAGTGCCTAATATGCCTTATATATTTAAGTATAATACTGTATAGTATCTTTTATATTATATTGATAGTATATGTGATATGATTATCGACATTTGATAAAGACATTTATTTGTTGTTTTTGGAATAGAGAAACGTATCTGTTATTTGGAAGTGCAGCAAAACATTTGTTCGATTTAATTTTACTCAGGATCTTTAATAACTAAATTATCGATCCTTAACAAGTAAATAAAACAATTAAATTTTTTTCTTAATTGTATAGAATGTTCAAAAGTTTCTATGCTGAGGTTGCGTGGTGACCATCCTCGTTGTATTCCTTGTTGACTTTAAGGGAATGATTGATAACGCTTGAGCCGCCTGGAGGATAGTTTGACGAAGGACCTGTACCTTGGCCAGGCGCCGGCTGCTGAGGCTGATTTGGCAGCGAATTTGGGTTATAGCCTGGGTTCTGTCCAGTTCCAGCCTGGGGATACACCGGTGCTGGAGGAGCCTGTTGCGGCGGTGGAGGTGGTGGAACTAGCGTGTACGGATTGAAGCCGGGAATGGGTGGGTAGCCTGGCGGAGGTTGATAGCCGGGCACTGGTGGGTAGACGTGCATAGCGGAAGGTAGGTACTGTGGATACTGCGGATTCGGCGGTGGGTATCCATACGGATAGGGGTTGTACTGATACGGCTGCCCATAGCCGAAGGGCATGGGATATGCAGGATAATTGTACTTGTGCTCGGTAGCCTTATACTTGTTTTTGTGCTTGCTCTCCCCGCTGCTGCTGCTTTCGCTGCTATCACTGTCCGCCCGGACAACTTCGCCGTACTGGCATCCCAGTACCAGGAGGACTCCAATCGCAGCCCAGTTCTTCATTGTTTCGGTTAACCGCAAGACGTTCGAATAATCTGAGCTCACGGGTTTGACTAAATCTTAGACAAGAAAATACCTTGTCCGTTTAGACAATCCAAATAGCCAGCGCGTGCGTTGTTTTTTGATAAGTAGACAAAAACATACAAATCCGACAAGGTTTCAGCCTGGTCTGCTAAACTAATTCCCTGTAAAATTTCCATATTTTGGAAACTATTTTTTAGTTATTATAAACAGATCGGTGTATTTTTTGTCTACCTAATTGGAGTATTGAAATAAAGTCTTTTTATACAAGAGTTGAATTTTAATATCATAATCATATTTAAGAGGTGAATAAAAGTATACCTATTTTTTAACTATTAGAAACTGGAAACTATTTGCGTAGCTTCTAGGTGTCGGAACAACCGCATTTCCTCTAGTTTTGTGTTACTTAATAGACAGAGGCTGTTCGCTTATCAACTTGACCATTTGACGGAAACTAAACAAAACAATACATATGAATAATCCTAATAGGCGACAATGAAGATCTGAAAATTTAACCATATACAATTTAAAACGTAGTGTTAATCATAACTGAGATATAAATAACGTAATAAATAGGTTTTGTACAAATGGGATGAGCAAGATAAGCCGTATTATCTTCTTGTCAAGTCAACATACCGGATGCTGCTATAAATGTACAAACGATTTAGGTTCTCTTTCTCCAATCAAAACAGACTAGTTATAAATAACTTTTCAAAGATAAGGTTTTGGGAAATACCCTATGTATTTATCGATGGTCGCAATTGTAAAACGTATATTTGAAAGAATATGTTAAATAAACATTAGGCCCAACCCTTATCAGTTCGAGGGTTGACCAACAAATATTTTCTTGATTTATAATTTACTAAAAAGGTAATTTAATCCCCGAGTTGAGGTTCTTCGTTGTGTTCCCATTTTTTATTCGATATATAACTTAGCAAACTAATAAATTGGTAGTTTTGTTTAGTTTTCACCGTTTTTGGTGGCAGCTGCTGAAGCCTTAAGGCGATTTTCCTTGACCAGCTTGCGCCATTCCAGCCACTTGGTCAGCTCGGGCTGCTCGCTGCTGGCGCCCTGCTGCTCCAACTGCATGTAGTAGGCCTCGCGTAGGATCTTGAATGCCTGGATACTGTAGTATGGCTGCTGGGTGACCGGATCAAAGTAGCGGGCTGGGAGTCTGGTAATCGGACAGATCCCATTGCTGACTTTGGGCGGCGGCTTGTGCCGGAAGATGTTCTGGAACACCTTGTCGTTGAAATCGTTCTCGACAATGACGAATGTGCGTTCACACTTTCCGCCGGGATCCTTTGAATCGGTTGGAAGATTGGCTCCTCGAGTGGGCTTTCGCGTGGCGGGCATGGTCAGTGAATGGTAGCGTATCGTAGGTCCTGTGAACGTGCGCTTGGTGGGTCGCGATTTCTTTTTCTCCAGCTCCATTTTTTGGAACTTTTCTGCAAGTTCGAAAGGAAAATGTTTTATGATTGTTTCTACAAACGCTTTGGGTACCCACCCAGAGATTTAATGTTCTCCTCTTCTGTTATTTTGGCCTCCTCCAGCAGCTCCTCCTGCGTGGGCATATAGTCCTCCACACGCACCTTCTTCTTCTTGCGCTTGCGGGCATCGTCCAACTCCTTGAGGCGGATTTTCGTGGCCTGCGTCTTGATGGCCGTCGAAGTACGAATGGATTTGCGGCCAGAGTCTAGAACCGTGAAACGAGGACGCACCCGTCGCTTAGTCACCCCACCACTACCTCGTTTTTTGTTTGAGGCTGGTACGGCCTTTGTTTCCTTCTTGACTGCCGGTTTGGTTTCCTTAAAATAATTCATTATTATTATTATATTTTCCAAATTTTCCTTGATGGGTCAGAAAGGATTCAAACGATTAAATACATTTTTTTATGAACAATATTAAGAACTTAGCTACTTCGTCTTTTGTTTTGCAAGACCTTGGTCAGATTAACTAAATATTCTGTTATTCGGGGCTAATAAAATCTCTCACAGCAATAGGATTCTATTAAAAACACGCCCGAAGGTATTTCCGTGTTACCCCTGATTATATCTTAGATTTAAAAGGCAAAGAGAGCAACAAAAATAATAATTACACATATATGATTTTGCTAAAAAAAGGTAATTGGTATGAGAGTTTAACTGCAATTAATTTAAAAATATTAAAGAATGTTTTAAACGCTTGATTGTGAAACCTTCATAGCCCCTTGATAAAAAAGTGTTTTGAGAGTGAGTTGCACCTTGTAAGCCTTCGTGTTGACTCCACCGCGTTTCCGCTTTCTGTCGGTAGGCTCTTCCTGGTCTGAAACGAGCTCATCCTGCTCATCGATACTGAAGTCCGAGTCCACCACATCCTCCTCTTCGTCCTTCTGTCTAAGGAAAGGATATCGAATGATTTTACATATTCGTATTTCTCAATTAAAGCCAGACTTACTCGTATTCCTTGTCCTCATCTTCGTCCTGAAAGCCGCCATAGGACGTTTTGTAAAAGTCGTCTTCCTCCTCTTCGTTCAGTAGGTGGGCTATTTTGTTGCCGGCATTGTTGCGCCGGGAGCGTGAAGCAGCCATTTGTTTGGTCTTATACTTTATAAAACCTTTCTTAACGCAGCTAATTAATAAATTTTAAGAATTTTTGGCCAACGATTTTTGTAAACAAGCCGTGAAGTGTGACCAGGCCGAGATATTCAAAATACGACGGATGGTTGAAAACTTGAATAATCACTACTTTTAAAAGTTGTTGTAGCCCTGGTAGCCCTGACAATTTTAAGGTTTTTACAGGTTTTTTTCTGTTATTTACAGATGATAGCTACGTGCTTTCAGCACTGTCACAACTTGTAAAGTACACGAAAAAGGCAACAAATTGCTTTTCAAGTCCCACCGAATTAATACATTATTTTTGGTATTTCAGCTACTGCATCTAACGTTCACACTAATCCATCGGCTTGTTGCTTTTCGTTCCGCCGGCCGCCTGCACTTCATAGTTTAATTTAATTCTACCAATTAACAGCCTGCACTCAATATGTCGGAACAATGGGAGGTGGTCTCCAAGTCGCGCAAGCAAAAGAATCTGGACAAGAAGGTGATCGCCCACACGGAGCAGAAGCGAATTGCGGCACAGCTGCCCAAGCTGGAGGAGTTGTGTAGGAATTTCGAATAGAGTGCACCTGCAATGCGATTACAAATTTTCCTTTTCTTATCCACAGTGCCAACTCAGCGATATCGCAATCTGTTCGGTTCCAGCAGCAACAACAACAACAAGTCCCATTCCCCCGCGAAATCCAGTTCAAGTGCCTCGTCTTCATCTAAGACTAACAAATCGCCAGTTAAGAAGAATCCCGTGAAGAATGCGGGTGCGTCGTCGACTCAGAAAAAGTCCACGTCGTCGTCCGTGGGAAAGCCAAAAACCCTGGAGCTGGCGTTAAAGAACATCACCCGTGATGATTTTGCCGCCCAACTGGAGCAGGTGAAGCTCAGTTGTCCTGGTTCCGAGTTGCGCTGGCTGAGTCATGTAGGTCATTCAAGTAGATTCCGATAGATCCAATTAACTAATTCTTTGCTCCCCCTAGATTGCTCTGTACTTGAATGGCGCCCTGTCCTACGACTGCGATCCCATCTTCTCCGGCCGCTCGGCTCAGTATCCCAGTGTCTTGGCCAGTGCCTCGCTCAAGTATTCTGTTGTTGAGTTCCTGGGGAGCGTGGGCGAGCAAAACCTGGAGTACTTCTTCTACTCCCTGCTGGACAGCATGGCCACGGATCTGAATAACAACCAGACGGTGGCCGGTTACAAACTGGTCCTCCAGTTGATCGGTCAGAACTGGCCGAGCATTTGCTCCAGAAACCTGGCCAAGACTGCTCTGCTGCGGAATTCCTACCAGAACCGTAGCAACATCTGCCTGAGCATCCTGTGGGCCATTGGTCAGGGCGGCTACCAGTCGCTGAACGAGGGCGTCAGGGTGTGGCAGAACCTGATGCTGCCCAACCTGGAGCTCAAGCAGTACACCAAGTTCGTGGTGGAGTATATGGAACGGGCTCTAAGTGCAGCAGCTGCCAGAAAGCCGGTGGACTCGTTGCAGCTTAACCAGCAGGAGTTCTTTGCCACCTACAATGCGTTGAATGCGACCTACAACAATCTGCCCAAGGAGTGGCAGCAAAGTCTGAAACGAAGTGCGCGCTTGTTACTTGTAAGGTCCACATGCCTAGAATCGACCATAGTTTTCTGATTCTTTTCTCCTGTATTTATAGCAACACTATATTGACAGTCCCGTGAAGCATGCCAATATTTTCCTGACACTCTTCCGCGAAATAAGCGCCAACTCCAAGCAGAATAACGAGATCGAGGGCTGTATTAGTTGCCTGTTCAGCAGCGGAAGAGATGATTGCCTCAGGGTGTGGCGGATGAACTATAAAAAGCAACAGTTGCCAAGTCTATTGCTACTGAAAGCTATAGGTAAGATCTAAGTGTTTTAAACCGTTTTGGAAATTGTATTGAACTATGGAAAAACATAGAAAAATGTTAATTTAAATGAAATTTTACTTATAACACAAACATTGCCTTCATCCCTCCTTAGACGACAATTGGACAACGTCTACCCACGAATTGGCTACGTCGCCTGTATATCACTCTTTTCTGCAAGATGTAGAAAATCTGAACGAAGAACTTCAGGCGGGCAAGCGCAAAGATGGCAACTTAGAAAGCTTAAAAGAAGTATTACTGGTAAGTAGGGATCAAATATATATTTGTATATCGAATATTTTGTAACGTAAGTCGCTGTGATCCCAACTATAAAATATTTCGTTTTTGAAATATCACTTTTAATAATTTGGATACATTTTTTTTATAACGAATATGCGCATTTATTAATAAATTTCAGTTAAAAAACGAGTAAAGTAAAATTTACGCGAAATTGAAATCTGGAACGGTGTGGATAGATTTGAATGTTTCGCGCATTTTGTTACACATCTGGCCACACTGTTAGGGTCTCTATCACTGGTGATGGACATTTCCATTTCCTAGTCTGGTCACATCGCTCTCGTGAAAAAAAACGAAGGTATAAGTTTGTTCAACTGACAACCAAAAGTGAATAATTAATTGCAATCGGTGCTAAAAAGAATGACTTGGGCTAGTTAAACAGTGCAGCTGGTCCAAAAACTACCTATTAGGCAGAAAACCTCCAAGGATTAGCTGATAACCAAACAAAAGTTCAGAGGGGACGCTGCCAACGCGACGTCGCTGCGAGAAAGAGACAGCAAAAGCTAGCCGGCGTTCGCCCGTAATTTCTCTCAATTTCAACTAGCTTTTCATCGACAGTGAGCATAAATTAATGGTCCGCACCTTAATTATCGCGTTGTCGCTCCAGTTGTTGTTGTTATTTAAGCAGTGCAAAGTGCGTTTCGGCCGTAGGTGTGTGCGTGTCATCATTAACTGTTGTGTATGCGTGCGCCCCTCTGCACCCGTATTGGTATTGGTGGCAGCTATAACTGCACTTTTCCCATAGCGTTGCCATGCGGGTTCCAGTTGCCGCTAAATTTCTCCGAGCGGACGTGTTGCTTTCGAAAAGAGAGATTAGGGCATCATGGGATCATAAATCTCGATTTATCAGGCCACAAGTTCTTATCAGCACGCCCAATTTTTTGGTGATCTGACGCTTATTTGTATTTTCCTATTGACTGATGTGTTCCAGCTGCGATTGGCTATCCGCCGCCCGCACCCCTCCCTCTCGCCGATTGTGCGCACTCTCGTCTTCTCCCCTCTTCTCTTCTCTTCCCACTCTCACTCTCACTGCACAGTGGTGCAGTTTGGCACTCTTACCTGAAATTCATCCAACGCCACGATTGCGAATTCCGAGGTCCAAAAAAAAAAAGAAGAAAACACTGTGGCCTTCCCAATTTAGGCTGCTTCAACACGTGGCATGACCACTGTGACCCTGATTCTCACCGGCCTTCTAAAATGTTCTTCATCATCTACCTTTCTTTCTTTTACTCGGAAACGAAATCAACGAAATTTTGAGGTCGTAGGTGGAGGTTCATTGAACTCTTTTGTACAGACAAACATTTAAAAAATATTTTAAGATAGGCCTTCTATTTTATTTTCTTTATCACTAGCCCTAGAACCTCAAATAAGAGAAATATAAAAGGTCACAAAAAGAATTGTCAGTCTATCAGATAGACTCTATCTTCAAAGTCAAAAAGTATTCAAATACACAAGTACAATTAAAATAGTTATATAATGTTCTATATCGATAAAATAAAACGTAATCTCATCTACAAGTTATTCTGCCAAAAATCTTGAAGCCTATTTTAAAATTAGTAGTTTCATAAAATGGGCCATTAAAAAAGTTATAAAACGCTAGGTTTAGAAAAAAGATTTAATTTTTAGTATCTGGACAAATTTGTCCGAGTATACGTACTTAAAACTTTTAATTATCCCCTCTCGCGGTTTTAGCTTATTCTCGCATCTTAGGTCATCGCGCTCTTATCCCGCAAAGCATTCCAACGCAATCTTTTTAGCAGTCGCAAAAAAAAGCTCGGTTTAAAAGCTCTCAAAGGCCCGTCATTCTTTTTAGCAACACAATTGCAATGATAAACACAATAATTAATTCAACTTCTCTTGTGAACAGCTGAAATAATCTAGAAATACTCGAAACTAAGTGAAATTAATTAGAAAATGGCTCAGGTTAAACCGAAAAGTAACAAACAGGGTGGCAAACCAGCGCCGGCCGCCAAAAAGGTAAACACAGCGACTCAATTAAAAAAGGCGACCAAATTAAATTCCCCCAGTTCGAAATTCTTATTGACTTTACGACTTTTCTACCTTAAAGAGCGTCCAGGAGAAGAGCAGCGCGCAGCAGAAGAAGAACAAACAGAATGCTGCGGCACAGAAAAAGAAATGCGGATGCTGCAAGTGGACGTTGGGCAGCATTTTCATCATCGCCCTGATTGCCGGAGCTCTGTACTACGACACCGAGGTCAACGGCAAGGGGGTGTTCGAGAAATCGGCCACCGGCAAGGTGCTGAAGAACGCCGGAGTGCTGCCGCATGTGCAGAAGACCTGGTACACGGTCATGGGTGCCGGAGCAAGGGGCTACAAGTGGGCGGAGGTGAATGTCCCGCCGTATGCCGAACCGGCGATCAAGACCACCGGCGACCTGTGGAAGCTGGCGAGGAATGCGGCCTGCAACGTTTACCAGAACGGCAAGGGGTACTTCGGCGCCAAGTGGCCAGTTGTGGCCAAATTCGTAAGTGTCTTCTAGTCGATGTGAAGATGAGGTCATTTCACGTTTGAATATGCTCGCTCAAACCAGTTTTGAATTATTCTTTCTTTTACTTTCGGGCTCCTTTGTTAATACGCTTTCTATTTTGTAGATTGACCAATACGTTCCCAATTTGTCTGCCAAGATTGAAGCCTTTGCCGCGGGCGTTAGCGATTTTGCCGTCAGCAGCTACGAAAAGTCTGCCGTGCTGATCAAGGAGAAGGTGCTTGTGTAAGTTTGAGTGGCTGTTTGTTTTAGAAAGCATCCCTTATAATTCTATCGTTTTATCAGTGGCCGTCTCTCGCCCGAGAACATCAATCTGGCGCTGAACCAGACGCGTAACGCCGCCCTGGAGTACTACAACCAGTTTCACAAAAAGGTCGACGCTTACGCCAAGCTCAAATGATTCTAAGCGTCAGGCACGCTTAACTCTCTAACAGCAACATCATCAGCAGCTGCAGCAGAAGCAAACACAAAACGCGTCATAGTAAATAGGAAGAAAACCCTAATTTTTCGCAATTAGTTAAAAAACCGGAAAATGTTCTACCAGTCGAAACTCAAGAAGCCATTCACATTCATCAACAACTTCTCGTCAAGTCTAATTAAGAAAAAGCAATACGAGCAAATCTTTGTGGATGCCGATAGTGTACACTAACAACTTAGTAAATTCAACCTCTATACTGATAAATTAGTTAAAAATCCGAAAAAATTTCTGTTGTACAACATTTGTTTAAACATTTTTCTCCAAGATGAGAAAACATTATTTTTAAATTTGTTTACAACGACTTGCGAGTTTTGTAAAAAGTTCTATCAACAAAATTTTTGTAATTGTAATTATTTAAGTGCGTTTTTTTGTGGCGATGCGCGAAGTGTTAACTAAAGTATGTTAACTGAACTTAACAATTCCAACTGCATTTTGAAGGCAAACAATAGATTCAAATATTTTTATACTTTTACTCATAGTTTCTTATTTTTGTGTGTGCATTTCTGTAGACTCCAATATTTGCATAAAAGCGCTATCCTTTCGATTCGATTTTAAATCTCATTTGTATATTTAATGGAATACACGATTTTGCATAAATAAAATAAAATTGAAAGAAGTGAAGTACAGAATCATAATGGCTTTTATTAAAGTGCTGAACGGAGCAGGAATTTATCCTTGCGCCGAAAAAACGAATTTGATCGAAAGATCACTCCGAACCGGAGTGGTGCAGGTATTTAAGAAAAAACGAACCAAGTTCACCGATTTATTTGGTAACTATTTTTTCAAATTTCGTTTGAAAAAAAGCACTTAATTTATTTTTTTTTACCTTACAAACATTCTATATTCTGGGGGATTCTCTGTTGGTATTACTAAGGAAAATAACACTAGAATGTTGTTTATGCTGCCATTATTATTTAACAAATTGTTTTTGCCCTGGTTTGAACCAGCATATCGACGAACCGGTTCACAAGCCTGAACCGTAGCAATCGGTTAGGCTCGAATCCGGAACATACCCAAATACAAAATAATTCGAAATCGCCATCCATTCCCATTTTTACGTGTTCATTATTTCATTATTTTTGAGAATGTGTGTTCAGAAGAAAACATTTATATACATTTTTCGTTTCTATCATAAATCCGTTTAACTTTATTTCGTAAAAATATATAAAATTAAAAAAAAAAAAATATATACGAATACTCCAGGCCTTACACTAGAATAAAGCGTTTCAGAGGAGTAACGGATATTTCACATGCCATTTTCGCATTCTTCTCTAAATATTTTGTCGGCATGGTGTTTACAAAAAGTACAACTGGTTCTCCAATCCGGCTGAAGGCGCGCGGTTAATACTTTCGGCCACGAGGAATGCCAACTTATGGGCGTACTGGCACACGGCGGGAACCCGGACAGTTCCAGAGAAATTGTAGTACATATGGGTCATCTTGTAGGCGAGCAACTGCAGCTTGTCGGCGCTCAATCCCATGTTGTCTGATATGACGTTGTAGCTGGTGGGCGAAACCGTTCCTTGACGAACTGCCTGAGACACCAGAAAGAAGTCATAACGCTCTGGTAAGGTTATAACATCATCCACCACTGTGCCCGGAAGTGGATTACGCTTGTTGACGAAGTAGCGCGAGTTAATGCGCTTGGACACGATGATAAATGCCATGCGACAACCCTCCTCCTTGCCTGCGGACTTGTACATTTCATCCAGCTTGGCCTTCAGGACCTTCACCTCGGTGTTCACAACCTGGTAGAGCTGGCCATCACCGACGCCGTCGCGGAAAAAAAGAATGCGCTCTGGCAAGGCACCGTGGTGCTCCCGGTAGGCCCTAAGAGCCAACGTCATATTCATCGACATTTGGTCGGACAACTCTTGGCCCTTCATGTGCTCAGTCACCGACGAGAAGTAACGGCAAGATGTTCGCTGATCCATGGTAGCTACCAAAGCCCCATAAGACTTGTTTTTGTTTTTCGATGAGTGGCACACATCGAAACCGACAGTCATCAAGCCGCGAACTGGAAGCTCGATCATCCAAGGAGCACCCATCAATTTGGCGTTCATCTGGATAACCACCTTTGTGGCAATCGACATAAGGCCAGCAGACTTTTCCGGGCGAGGGGCAATCACCTTCAATGTCACCACCTGCGACGGCACAGGTCTGTCCACGCAGGTCCGTTTCTTGATGCAGCTATACCTGTTAAGCAATGGGAAAAAGTTAAAACTGGCTCAGCATAATCTTAAAAATCATACGCACTTCTCTTCGTTAGGAGCTTTTATCACAACCATCACTATCTGTGGGTCCTTGGCCACGGCGTTATCGATCGATTGAGAGTAAGTGCCATTACGGTCGTCCTTGATTTCATTGCTACAAAAAGGAGTGCATCAAATTAGGTACTCACAAGTAGTTTTGTAATACCTACTAGTGAGGCTCAGAGATCTGCATCCTCATTCCGTTGGCTGCCCGGATGCACATCTTAACAAACTCCTGGGTCTCGCGCAAATTTCGACCCGGAGTGATCACATGCCACCTCTTGATGTCCACGTGACTGAACATCGAGGAGGAGCGGAACTCGTTGGTCCAATCGGCGCGAGCGTCGCACAGGAATCTCTTGTTGTTGCCGAACACGATTTTCTCCGCTGGCAGCACGCGAGCTGGAATTTCCACCAAGGCGGAGTCCAGTTCGAAGTTCCAGGACTTCAGCGTTTCAGTGCTTTCCTTGGAGGACTTCAATCGCTGGTTGAAGATGCGCAGGCGCTCAATGCGACGATCCGGAGTGAGTCTAGTATGCTCGCTCATGGTTTTCATCAACCTAGTCACACGAAGAGCGACTTTTGAAGGGGTTTTAAAACTAAAATCCTACTCTGAACTTACCGGAAATTGGCGCGCATTGCGTCCGTCATTCCTGTTGCCCGAGCCAGCTCGGGAATAAGCATAATGAGGTGATCAACGCCTCCACGGATATTTTTCTCAGTGGGACGAGACACCACCAAAGGTTGCTTGAAGTCTCGGATTGTGATGTTGTATCGCTAAAAAATTTAATTAATTCAGACATTTTTGAACATTTGTACTTTTGTATTTTACCTTCTTATAATACTCCACATAAGAAATATCACCATCCTTGGTATTAAATTTAGATGATGGCGACGCACTAAAGTCAACATCGTCAACGCGATAGGTTTTGTTGTTGTAGTCAGTTAAAACAACCATGCCTGTTTTAAATATTGTAGAAACTCATTTTGTTAAATATTAAATATGATAGGGATTGAACTCACCTATTATTTCACGTTTGAAGGCGGTTTGATAATCGTCACTGTCACGAATAGCCTCGGATAAAATGTTATACAGGGTATCGGTTCTCATCACCTTGTGTGCTATTTCGGTGCACAACAATATATCACTTTCGTGTTGTCGAATAGAAGTCTGATATCCAGGCCAGAGTTCCATGCGGTAGCTTTCCAAATTAATCTGTTAGTAGTGAAGAAAAAGAAAAATTCAATACATACAAAAGTTTAAATATGAATTTAACTAGCCAACCTTTGCCTTAGGATCAAAAAAGTTGCGAGAAACCAGCTGCAAGTTCAAGCCTTCCATGGCTCTGCGCAAAATTAGATTGAGGACCTGGAACTGCTGGTTATCAGCTGCCTCCACGGACCCAACAGCCTTTATTTTAATCTGGTAGTTTTCCCCCTCACGACTCTGTGTCACAAGCTCCAGAACATAGGGACTGTTTTGCACAGGCTTAAACTGAGTGGTGCAAAATAGAATGGTTCCGTCAAATATGTAGCCGCCCAGAAGGCTTCGATGATGGTTCATAAAGGCCCGACGTATACGCGTATTGTCCACATCAGGAACAAAATCAACGCGGTACTGGTAGATGGTCCATGTCGGGCGTTTCAAAAGCTTGAAGTAGTTGGTCTGAACAGTAATTCTCGTTCCAGATACTCCATTCTTGGTTGCCAGTCCCTGTGGGCGGGAGGGTACAACATCCGTGATCAGACGACGTCCACGCACAGATCCACGGGGATCAACTATTTTGATTAATGTAACAGGGTTCTATTAAAATCAAATTAAAAAGATAATACAACATTACTGACCTTCAGAGCTCTGAGCTTCAACCTCGCTCGACTTGGTCTCCAGACTGCGCATTGTCTCCTGCTGACTTACTGGGACATCACTGAATGAACACTCCCCTCCTGAGGCTTCATTTCTTCCCGATTGAGAAGAATGCGTGGACTGGCCCTACAAATTTTTTATTTTTTAACGTGTTATACTATTTGCAATATCACATTTGTTACGAAGTTGATTTGAAGTACAACAAAGTAAGACTTTGGTGCAGAAAAAGTATTAATTTAATTTATTAAAACTCTTTAAACATTTTGTGTCGCAAAAGGCTGGCCACATCCCATAAGTCTTATGGGAAGAGTGTGAGGTATGTACATTGGGCTATGTAGAATAAACATATGCATGAATGTACATTGTACATACGTTCATAGTATCATTGTATAACTAACAAAATACTTATGTCCAGTTGATCAAAAAGCAGTATTTACGTCCAACTTATTTTAAATTAAGTTTGATCTCAGTCCACATTTACATGCCTTTAAAAGACCACGCGCAGTTCATGACGGTTAGGACAAGGGATCTAGTGGTGTGGACTAACTTTTAGGTTAAGTAAATTTTAAACACACTTTTATTCTGCCCACACTAATTTCTTAGCCCAGCTTCTTGGCTATTGAAATATTTTTACATTTGGTCTTCGTATCATTTTTGTTACCTATTGAATTTTGAATGTATGTATACTTATATACAACTAGCCAAACTTAAACTTTATATAATACATTATTGTGCAAGTCCTTTCATGAATACTTGAAGAAATGTGAAACTAAGATGTTCATACATATATTTCGATGAAGGACCTGTATTATTTTGTGGACTAAGCAGCGTTGCCGCGTCACCTGTAAGTGATGTGGAGTTATCTAGCTTCCATCTTTTTCGTGGGAAAAGCAAAATTTGTATGTTTAAGTGTTCCAAATTCACTTAACCAAACTTTAAAGTCCTATAAATGCCGACTAAAAACATAAATGGAAAAACCACTCTTGGCTTGCATACAGACAAATTCTAACTAAAGTCCACAACTTCAACAATCTATTCATCATGGTACACGGCAATCTAGTCGGGCTGCCCCATAGATCGGCTTTTAATCCGTTGACGTCCTTCGGCGATCTCACTATCCCTTTCACTCGCACGTGTTTGCAAGTGTCTTGAATAGACTATATTTTGCGGACTACCTTGAATATCTTTACTATGAAGTACAAATGTTCCTATGTATACCTATGTATTGTTTACAACAAATTTACACTCTGCATAATTTTCCAAATAAATATTTTAAGTAGAACAGGCTTACCAGTTTAGGAGCCATTCCTCGGTTCGCATTTTCATCGGGCTTTTTTCCGCGTCCACGTCCGCGAGCCGTTCCAGTATTTGGTGGTAAATCCATTTTATTTATACAACTATTTTTCACTTTTTACTTAAAAAAAAATTGTACTCTCTTCAACACTCTCACTTGAAGGTTTTCAGGTCAAGTAACTTGATCCAAGTGACGCAACTTGACTCAAGTTACAAAAGGAAAAGGAAACGGAAATGGCCGGGAGATTTGACCACGCCCAGGGCTGAAACTTTTTTTTCATTTCCTGTTGTTATCGATTGTTCTTTAAACGACAAATTCTGCATCTCTGAGCACATTTGCATAGATGTAAATTATTGATGCAAAATATTAGCTTTTCTATAACACTTGAAATATGAGCTTTTTTTTGTTGAAATAGAGCCAGATTGAATGTTGCTTAATGTATTTTTTATACCAAATTTAAATCACTCATAATAAAAGCAAATTACAAACAATAAATATTTGACATATTAACAATGTCATCCGAGCTGTCAAAGTAGAAATAATATGTAGTTTGAATAGCAACCTGCTAACGATAAATGTCATTTTTTTAGTGTTCAAAAACCCTAACAACTTTATACCTGATAAGTTATGGTTTCTTTTAATCTTGAACTATTAAATTGCGAAATTGTTAAAAATGCATCCGAAAATTTCAGCAACTGAGGAAGCGACCCAGAGTGGTTCCTGTTGAATTTTCAAACAGCTGCGGCCAGTTCTTTAAATTTGCGGATGTAAATTTGAGAAAACCGATGGGCACTTCTGCTAGTTTTCTTGTATTTAAAAATCCCTCGATAATTTAATAGCAAATAAGTTATAAGGTTTAAAGTTAACGTTCAAAAGCTTAAGGGACCATGTCTTCATATTTATATTATCATATATATATGTCTCTATCTAAGCCTGTAATGAATGCTCTAAAGGTAAATTATTCATAATTTAAAACTATTTCGCCTTGGACTGCGTTCAAACTAAATTAGAAAATAACGTACATAAACAATAATTATACCCGTTACTCGTAGAGTAAAAGATACCTTTTTTTTACTTGTAACAGAGTAGAGGGTATCTGATAGTCGAGGCACTCGACTTGTTTTTATATTCGTGTTCGGCTGAGTGTTTCTATCTGAACTCGAGTGCAGTTTCTCTGGTGATGAATCAACGACAATAGCAAAGAAATACTAAATATACCAAAGGAATATCAAACCCAACTTTGGCACACTTCTAGTTGCCAATGCAAAACCTGTGTGAAAATAAACAGGGTTGAGCCAATAACCCTAAAATACCCCCATAGTCTAAATAGGCTTTAAGTACTTAAAAAATATTAATAAAGATAACTGGGTTGCATGTTTCAATTAGTTTTATTATTCATCTTTATTTATAAAAACATTTTTGAATTCAGCGTCCATTATCTATATAAAAATTGAGCTAAAAAGAAAGGTTAAATTATTGAGAAACATCATTTAAATAACTTGAAAAACAAAGATATTAATAAAAAAAGTAAAACAAAACTGAACTGAATCTTTTGTTTGCACATATTCCGACTGCTTAATGTGAGTTTATGATGTATCCAAATTATTAAATCCGTTTATTATTTTTTAAAATAAACGAATTTTTTTACAATGTTTTTTTTATACATCAATATCTTTTCCAATTTTAAAGTTTTTTCATTCATTCATTAAGTTTTCTCTCACTTCTCACAAGATTTGAGATGGGGTCGGTAAGTTCTGCGTTCCAAGTTTCTCAACCAGTCCACCGGAATGTTCCTATCCGCGCGGTTCAAATTGCTAATTTGGATTTTATCTTCTTAACCCACGCTATAAGATAGAAAATCAAAATATGTAGTTATGTTGAGTATTGTAAACGATTATCAGTGCAGGTTGATTTAGCTTCCTCGAAGTCTTAGTTTGAACTAAAACGGAAGTCTCCTTCTGCAACATATTGGTCATATGGGTTTTATAAGTGCGGAATGACTAAAGAGGTCGCTTTAAGTGCTCTCTAATAAAAAAGGGTCATAAGCAAAGCCAATCTTAGGACATGTCGAATGTTAATTGCGAATAATTAATGTTGACAAATTGCGTAGTGATAAACGCAATATTGAAAGTAGAGAACAACTTTAAACTAACCGATTTTTCCAAAAGTTCTAAATCTCATGCAGTTTAATGCAATATTTCGCAGTCCAGGACGCTAGAATCATAAAGGGAGTTCCTATTACTTGAAAAGGGTTTTATGCATTAAAATAAGCATGAAATGTCAATTATACTGAGCTGAAGCGGGTTGCAGTTTCTGTTATTCAAAATCTTTTTAACACTCATTTCTGTTTTTTAGAACTTAGGGAATCCCGAGGGCTATATAGTTTGAAGTTTAAAAATAAATAGAACAAGCTGCTTTTGACAAAATATCAAAAAGTAGCAAAAAACCTTTAGCTATAATTTTTAAACTATTGTATTTAGACCATTTAAACAAAGGCAGCGTGATTAGCATATTTAATTAACTTTTCAACGAAAGCAGGTATGTATGCGTCGCTTTAGTCGCTTAGGAACTATAAGCCTTTAAAATATGTCTTTTTATTCTTGTTTTTGAAATAACTTTGGATCGGTGCATCGTATTTTAACAAATGAAGTGCCTTTCGATGCTTATTTTCGGTATATATACGAATAGGTTAATAACCTGTGGCATTTATCCGCATCGCCCTTAATACCCGTTACTCGTAGAGTAACCTTAAAAAGGTCATACAAAAAAGTTCTAGTGTACCCGGTATAAATTATTAAATTTCTCCCTCTCCGAATTCAGGTATACCGCAGTTCAGCGAACTTGGCAGCCATAACATTTGACCGATAATGATTGACCTTAATCTCGAAGCCATGCAACTGCTTCTGCTTCTGGTGTACTTGGTGCCGGGCTGTGACTTCCATTGTATTTTCATTCACAAGAAGGCATGCAACGCTGGCAGAACAAACTGGCCGTGGTAACGGGTGCCAGCGTTTATCACAATTGCAGTCCATATAACCATGACCGATAATAAACCGCCGTCGCGATAAACAAAAGGCTTTGTTATTATATATTCTTGTTTTTAATTATTAAAAGTTTTAGCGGTTATATGGGTGAGGTGACCACAAAAACACTTGCATTAAGATTAAATTTATACAATTATGAATCTCATATCGTAGATCGAGGTATGGGATTGGGTTGCGGGTGTATAGTGGATCATAACAATAATTTCGAACTCAACAAGGACCCACGACATCGGCTGCTCCGTAGTTGGCGAGGATGCGGGCATCCGCATGCCACAGGCGGTCCATCTCTGAGTTGTCGGTGAGTTTCAGCAAAAACTTCTCCAAGTCACTGGCCACGAACTTCTGCAGCTTGAGGAGATCGTACTGCGGCGGACCCTCCACTGTGACCTCGCACTCTTTGGCGAAGCACAGATCCTGCTCTAGCTGTTGCGTGGATCGGTGGAGCAGCTTCAGCCGGAAGTGCTCCGGACAGCCGCGAGAGCCGCCGTTCGTTTGGGAAAGAAGCTATTCGATCTTAAATGTAAGCGTTGTACTCACAGTACCCACAAACTGAATGGTGCAATGGTAGTTGGTCAGCTGGAGGAGGGTTTGGATGGACAGGTATCCCATCGCCTGATCTACAATATTTGGCGGCCTCTTCCAGTAAATATTGCTGGCGGAGCTTTTCTTCGGGAGTGAGTTCCCTTACTAGCTCGTCGAAGCCATCATCCGAATAGGCGGGCTCCTCATCTACCAAGCCTCCGTCAACCTTCTCGCCGGCGGCTGTTGGCAGAAGTGGTTCCCCTACGATGCAACGGATGTCATTGGGAAGTGTTTCCGAGGCCTTGAGCTGCAGGTAAATGGCCTCAGCAATCTGCAAGGTCTTTTGGACATCAACATTGCCAGACAGCTCGTCGACATGCTTCAGGATCTCTGTGAACTCATACTGACTCTCTATTATCACGCTCGTCTCCTGATCCAAAATGGCCACCGAGAAGAGCAGGTGAAAATTTGGACATGGCAGCCGAGTCCACAGGCACTCCCACAACTTAAGGACGTCCTCGTTGCTCAGCTCCCGCTTGTACCACACCAGTAGCCATCTGAAGCAGAATTACATGTTGTCCGAATCGTGGGATCGCATGTAGTTGAACAGTGGAGCATTGGCAAACTCGATCAGGCGACGGACCTGGGCAAACTGAGTCTTCATGCCCGCCTGGTCCATGTCAAAGTTTGTGAACACCAGCTCCATGAAGCCCACGAAGCACGAGAAGGCATCCACCTCATTCACCTGGATCTCCAAAATGGGAGCAAGCAGATCGGACATTCCCTGAACATAGCCAAGATCAAAGTTGTACATCACGTAGGTCATAAGGATACCCTGCAGCAGAGCTAGATTGGGATTATCCTCGCCGGCGAAGAACTGCAGCGACCGATCTGTGCGCTTCACATCCTTCTCGATCTGGCACTTGCGCTCCCGATAGCCGCAAAAGTTCGCTTCTTGCACCGTCGTAATGGCCAGCCACTGGGCTTTCAAATTGTAGTACTCAATTGACTTTTGCTTATGGCGCTCGATCCGCTCCACCTGGGTATCGGACTACTGATAATAGTTAAGGAGGAACTTCCACACCTCTGCCCGCAAGCTGTGCACGATGCCGCCACGGAAGATGAGCTCCTTGATGCGGACGCTGTTTGAAATTCGACCGTCGGGCGTCTGGAACTCCAGCCACTGTGTCTCCGTGAGAGGAGGGCATGTAAAAGAAGGGTAAGTCATTAAGTTCATGTAGTTCTGATTCTGATTATTGCATTTTCAATAAGAAGTATTTCTGATAAAATTTAAATTACCAAAAAAAATGAACTTTCGGCTACGAGATTATAACAATCAAGTCAACCTTTCGGATGAACAGGCACTATTGGTGCTCCCACTTAGTCCTATGATCTGATAGTTGTCCGGTGAGGTCTGGCGATCGCCGGTGATCAGTGCTCCTGGCCGAGATTTAGGCGAGCGCTGGAAAGGCGGCTGCACGTAATCGGGAATGTTGCCAGCAGAGGCGTAGAGTCGATAAGCAGCGAGAGCCAAAAGCTAATGGAAGAAAGTTTGTTAAGGAAGCTTATACATTTTTAACTTATTAGCTTACTAATCTGGCGTGATTCTGGATTCCAGGAGATTCACTAGAAGCTCAGAGGCAGACAGAAAATCGCGGGTCCGATAAAATTCGTAAAACTCATAGTACTTCGAGAGGAAAACCAAGCGCGGCGAGATGAACATTTGGCCACCCACATTGGCTATGGTGTCCGGGCAGAGCATGTTTCCAGTTCTCGAGTAATGCTATGGAAAAGACAACCCATTAGTTTGAAATATGAAAACAAAAAGGGTTTGTAAACACAACAGTCTAGATAGTCGATGCCCAACTGCCACAGGTTGTGGGACGTCATCAGATAGCTGCCGTACTCATAGATCATCGAATGACGTAGGGCAGGAAGATCACTGTGGGTAAGAAATATAAAATATTATCTTTCGAATAAATACAAATCTCAATCAATTTAAGCCACATGTTGTTCTGATCAAAGTAGCTCTTCAGCTGAACGCAATGATGGATTAGATTAATCAAATGCGTGGAGAACCAATGGGTATCGTTCAGTTTCTGGGCTTCGTATATGAAGAGTTTTATGTCGTGGTCCATGAGCTGCGCAACCATGCGGTTCATGCTGCAGAGCTCCTTTTCCGGCCGCAGCAGATGCCATCGGTTCAACCAATTGGCGGCTGCTATCCTCAGCTAGGTGGGCCAGTACTTCTTTTCCAGCGTCGGCCACTGTAATTATAATACCAATTTGTTTATTAGTTACGCACCGGATCTGATGTAATCACTAGAATTACACACTCACCTTGAACACTTGGATTAGTTAATAGACCACATAAGCCACCACCGCCATGCAAAGGACATGAAGGCGTGGCAGGTTGGACGGTAGGCGTATATCGAATAGAACATGGGCGTCGTGATCCGAATGAAATGGCATATGGCATAATGTTCCGGTTGATCATCTTGGAGATGAGCGACTGCGGCGTGGTGGCTATGAACTGACCTTCACGGTCCTTCTCGAGAACTCCTTGAACAAGGCCGAATTCTTTGCACTCGAAGGTGTAACGCTGGACAGCGACAGGGTCTCGTCATTGGAGACTGTCGATTCGTTTGGGTTTGGACGCAATACTGTTGTTGGCATAGAAGCTGGGATCCACCGAGCTGAGCTGCCGGCGCGTTCGGATCGATTGAGCGGCGATGGAGGCGGCAGCACCACATACTCCTCCGACTCGGCGAGGAGCATTAGCAGGATCTTCTCCTTGGCGGCGAACAGGAGCACGTCGTCCTCGCAGATCTCGCAGCCAGTGGAATGTGTCGGTTCTGCGGGCTAAAAAAAAGTTAAGCATTTGAGTAATATAGATAAATTGCACAAACAAATCCGCAATCCGGGTGCTTTCTCACCACAACTCTCTGGCGTTTGCGGCCGGCGCTTGGTTCGGAGCGGGTAATGCCGGGATGGATGGTGATCTCAAAGAACAAGAAAATATTTGTTTAATCTCTATGCCCGTCTAGCGTACGCTTCTCTTACCTGCTTCCGCAATCACCGCGGTGGGGCCGCTCGGGAGCCTCCATGCCCTTAGTCGCTCAGGAACCGCTTCTGAAATTAATATAAAAATTATAATTAAAGTTAAAAATCAAATCAAATTTTATGAATACTTACAGCAAGGCATTAAGCCCTTCACTGAGTTCCCGGTTCGTTGGGGACACGGAAGACTCCCTCGAAGGCTGCAGCACCTCCCCGTTGTTGATGGCCGCCCAATGTCGCCGCAGGGTGGCATGTGGGCCATCCGGCAAATAAGCCGTGACCCCGTCCCCTTCGCACTTACCCCTATGCCCACTAGGGTTCTTCACCACGGAGCTGAAGGGGCAGTAGGGGCAAGAATACGTCAGGGACGAGGCCAAGCAGGTGTGGCGCCTGGCTTTAAACGTAGTACCGCATTTCTGCCAGCACATCCAGCACTGCAAAGGCACCGTCGTCCATTGCCTTCCATTGCCATCGAAGTGCCTCTGCATCTCCTTCGTGGGGAGCTGTGACCACTTAGAGACTTGTGCAGGATACGGATACCACTGTGGCTGTGGCGCCACATATGTCTGCGCCGGCTGATACCACCACTGACCAGGTGGTGCCGGCGCGACATATCCCTGCGGCGCAGGACCCCCCACCATTGTCCAGGTGGTGGTGGTGGTGGCATCATGTGGGGGGTCGCCGCAATTGTTGCTGGTGGCGGCATCTGCGTCGCACGTGTGGCTTCTGCCACAACCGCCAATCCAGCAGCCTGCACTGCTGCCACGGCTGCCTTTATTGCTAAATTAATTAAATAAAATAAATAAATAAAATAATTTTTCAAAAAGTTTTGTTTCAATTATGTGTTTATAATAGTCTTTTTCGATTTTATACGTGCAGGTCGTATGCACTGCTATTTCAATGAAGACAGCTGTACATATTTATGTACCCAACTTTAAGTGAATCTTTTACTTTATACTCTCCTTTTAAGTCAAAATATCATGATATGTCTGGAAATTAATGGCAAGGGATCCATACGTAAATATTTCAATAATATTGCCTTTAAAATGGTTAACAGTCCCTCCTTCATATCTTGATTTGATGTATTTATATTTATTCTCTTCTATAAATTTATCTTAAGGAATTTTTGGAAATATTTCCGGGGTTCACAGCTGTGCTCTACTATCTAATTCTCACACTGATTAACATATTTACATGCGATATGCGAAATCTCTGCAGTGTTAGTGCTTTGCCGACCAGTGTGTACTTCTTATGGCTGGGTCGCAAACATACATTCACACGGCAGCCAAATGTTTTGTTTTTG